AAAAAATGTGGAAAAAATGGGAAAAAATGCAATATTACCATTGTATATCTTAGTTTTCTTTTGAGGGAAAGTTATGCAGACACCTATATTTTTGAATGCATAATTGCTGAAAAATATCATTACTGTAAGTTACTTTCTAAATAGGGAATAGAGGAAAAACATTTCTTTTTGACAAATTTAAGGTTCATAAACCCTCTGCTTACTCATCAAATAAAATTTTGCTTAAGCTTTTATTTTTTTTCAAAAGAAATGTATTTTATTAGTAAAGTACAAACAACTATAGCATAGATTGGAAGGCAACATTAAACAAAAGAATCATTTCCACTTGATAAATTTACAAAGGAATAATAGACATTTAGTTCATAAAGTTATCTCTCTTATTAGAGTATCAATAAACCTTAATGCATCATTGCAGAAAAAAAATCAATCTTCTCTTTCTTCTTCTTATTGTTATTATTCTAAATTAACAGAAAGACATTCCTATAAAATCATTTTTAACAAAGAACAATTTGTTTTTGTTAGAAAAATTATGGAAACACTATACTCGGTAAATATTTTTTTTAATACTGGAAGAGATTTGCCAATACATACCTTTTTTTTTAATTTTATGCACTGAAAAAATATAGTGATCATATTGTAACATCATAATCTTTATGGTATTTTATCAAGCAATCTAATATAACTAATGCATATTCTATATTTTTGTCCTTTTCTATTTAATTTTGCTTAGTAAGATCTTAAATTTTAATTTACTATTTATTTTGTTGTTTTTTATGCAACCAATTCTCATTTTACTGAATGTTCTTAGCAATATAATATTTTTAAATAATTTTTTTAGAAAAAAAAATATAATGTAAAAATAAAGTAAAATGCATAAATAATAATAAGAACACTTTATTTAGTACATTTTAATGTTACACACCTTGTGCTAATAAATAACACTTTCTAGTACATAGAGGCTTTCTAGAGATTCTTTTTCTTTTCTCTATCTTTCTATTTTTACCTTTCTGAAAAACATGAAAAGGAATGTAATTGTAAGGTGTCTTTTTCATAGGTTTTTTCTCTAGTTTTTCCTTTCTGAAAAACATGTAAAGGGTTGGAATTGTAAGGTGTCTTTTTCATAGTTTTTTTCTCTAGTTTTTCCTTTCTAAAAAACATGAAAAGGGATGTAAATGTAAGATGTCTTTTTCATAGGTTTTTTTCTCTAGTTTTTCCTTTCTGAAAAACATGTAAAGGGTTGAAATTGTAAGGTGTCTTTTTTCATAGTTTTTTTTTCTCTAATTTTTCCTTTCTAAAAAACATGAAAAGGGATGTAATTGTAAGGTGTCTTTTTCATAGTTTTTTTTCTCTAGTTTTACCTTTCTGAAAAACATGAAAAGGGATGTAATTGTAAAGTGTTTTCCATAGATTTTCTAGTTTCTTTTTTTCTCTCTAGTTTTTCCTTTCTGAGAAGTATGAAATGTGATATGATTGTAAAGTGTCTTTTTTGTAGGTTTTTTTAAAGTTTCTTTTTTTTCCTTTCGTAAAAGCATGAAAGGTGTGTAATTTTTAAAGTATCTTTTTACATAAGTTTTCTAGAATTTCTTTTTCTCTCTAGTTTCTCTCATGAAATGTGATACGATTGTAAATTGTCTTTTTTCGTAGGTTTTCTAAAGTTTTTTCCCTTTCTGAAAAGCATGATGAGTAATGCAATTGTAATTTTTTTCACTACATTTACATGTTGATATGTTCTCGGTATAATTTTTAATTCATCAAAATAATTTTTGATAAATTATTTATTATTTCTTTTAATTTCATTATCCATTTGATGGTTGGGGAACCATATTTCAAGATCGTAGCCGCCAGGGTTGGGGTCAATTACTTGAAAATGTAATTAAGTACTTTCAAATACATTGATAATTTTGTCAATTACTTGCAATTACAATTTCTTTAATTTTAACAAATGTAATTAATTACTCTCAATTACTTTGAAGAATGTAATTAAATACATTTCAATTACTTTAATACGTTTTAATTCCAAAACTTTTGAAGAACAAATACATGAATATTTTGAAGCAGCGATATTATTAAATTTGACCTTTCCTATTGCCCTGGGCAGTGTGTTTATGCTGTATTAAGGCTATTAGGCATTTAATTCTTGAATAAACATAAGCTCATGTCAAACAGTGCTGGTATGCATCATAATTAAAAACACCTTTTTTAATATTTTACTAAAAATAAAGTAATTGAAATTTAATTGAAAAATACATGTCATTTTTGGAATGTATTTAAATACATTCAGTTACTTGTAATTAAAAGCAAACTCGATTACAAATACTTTAGATTACTTTGAAAATATGTATTTAAATACGGTTTATTACAATTACTCATTTCAGTAACCCCATCCCTGGTAGCCGCTACGATCCTGAACGATGTGTTCGCCTAGCCATAGCAAGCATTATAGCTGCTACGATCTTTAACGCAGTCCAGGGCATTGTCCAACAATAAAACACATAACACAGGGCTGGTCCTAGCATTAAAACACCTACATCACAAAAGGCATGATTGAAGTGCTCAGTCAAATACCAGCATAACCCACGGCATGGTCGCAGCAGTAAAACGCCTACATAACCGCATGATCACAGCAGTAAATCAGCTACATAGCCCAGGGCATGGTTGCTGTGCAGTCAAACACGTTACACCTAACGTTACATAACACAGGGCATGGTTGAAGCAGTCAAACACCTACATAAAGAAATAGGTGAAGATAATGATCAGTGGCGTATATTCCATACAGGCAAAAAGACATAGCTTACACAACATTTTCTCAGGGATAAAAATTTGGTTGAAAATTTTGAAGAAAAGTTGATAATAAATCTTATCTATTAATTTTATTCTGCTGCAAATGCCAAAAAGCATTCTTAGCAATCCGCACATGTATACCTATCCAACGTTTACAATTTTACAAAATTAATTACTCAAAATATTTTTGGTTAGTAGGAAATTAAACCTAGTGTTCGTAATTGGATTATTCAGTAAGGAGTCTCCAAATTTTCTAAGCAGAGTAGAAGAATAAGTTGAGTTCTCAATTTTGTTCAGTGGTCTTCATATCATGATATAAACTGAAAATATGTTTATAATATTATTTTCACTGGTCAATTGACAATCGTAGATGTCTTCGAGTTCGCAAAAATGCTCCCTCCGACCCCCCCCCCCCTCAATCCTATCCCCATCGAGAGGAGGCGACCTGCTCCTTGCTTACCCATGCTTTGCGCCTCAGGTTAAATCTGTGACTTCACACTACCAGAAAAGAAAAATATTTCAAAAGGCGTTATTATAACGCCTTTTTAATTTTTTCTTCTTCATAGATTGATCCTTTTAGGCTTTCGTAGAAAACATCATTATACTTGTAAAAAAAAACATCACCATTTTCAAATACTCATGAAAATGAAAATGGATAAATGACTATTAAATCTCACCGTATACTTTAAAGGTGCTTAGACACAGATATGAAGTTAATATTTTCTCAAATTTTCTGTATAATATCACGATTTATATATTGCAATAGCATTTCACACGAAAATATAATTAAAAACTATATGACTGAGCACTTCAATCATGCCCTTTGTGATGTAGGAGTTTTAATGCTAGGACCAGCCCAAAAGCGGATCCGTGTTAAGTTGATATGAAAAGTCATAGATATGAAGCATAAGATGTCAACACCCCCCCCCCCCCCCCCACCCCCGCCGAAATAGGTTTTTCACGTTTAGGAAAGGAGTTTACGTTTTTTTTTTCTGTTTTTTTTTCTTGTCAAGAAATTTCTGGGTTGGATTTTTTTTTTACTGGGGTGGGCCCCTCCTGTAAAAAATTCCTGGATTCGCGCCTTGTTTTATGAAAATTCACAAAAATATCAATATAAAAATTTATTCAAATATGTGTGGCAGTTGGCAGTGAGCAGTTGGCAGTGAGCAGTTGGCAGTAAGCAGTGAGCAGTTGGCTGTCGTATATGGAATTCCATATACCCCTCCTTTTTTTTTTTTTTTTTTTTTAAAATAGATAATTTATTTTATAATTTACAAATCACTTTAAGGACTTAAAAATGAAAACTGTAATTTGGGGTATACATCAGGATACTTAATCACGAGACACTTGATTCTGTAATATTTTTAAACCCATTCTGATTGTATAAAAACACTATGTCTGTGAGACTATATATAATAAAATGATATACACAGTACCCCCCAAAAATTTAACTTTACCGAGATGATGAAGAATGTCCATTATCATCCCCTGCTCTTTAAAAAATAAAAAGGGAGGAAAACATACTCCCCCAAAAAATAACATGGCTGGGCATGTTTGTTTCCCTTTCTTTTTTGACAGACAAATTTTAACCAGAAAAGCTCAAAATGAGCCTTTGACTTTGGTGAGCGATTTTTTTTAAAGTAATACATGTACTTCCAGTTTTATCATCAGCTGCGTTCCATTCAAGAAGTGTAATTTTTTCACATCCAGTTAATTTCAATGTTTGTGTTGCATTGCTACAAATTTTCAAGGTTGATTCCCTTAATTATTGGTATATCATCCAGATCTATCATCTAGAACTCAAGTCTAGCAGGTTGATTGAATCAATTGTAAGAAAGACTTCTCCAAGCAAGGTTCATTGTCTTTAGACAAATAGAATTCCAAAATGTCTTCCATTATTAATTAGTTTGTCGATTCAACCACTATTAAAATTCAATAGAGAAGCAATCAACTTTTCCTCAGAAAATTTTTTTTGTTTCCTCTAGTTCAATGCTTCTCAAGTGGGTTCTGAAAGAGTGCTCTTCATTTTGTAAAGTGATTTTTCAGAGCAGTTGCCATATATACCATTAGAACTTTGCATGTTGAGCAGGCATCATCAATTTACGCAAATATTATCAAATGAAATCTCCTGATATACTGACCAAAAATTATAATCACCACAAAATATAGAAGTTTTGTAAAAATTTATTTTATCATAAAATAAATATTAAATACACAAGAACATGGTACAATATGACATCAGTAAACCTGAGGACTGTGAACTGAGACACCAATTTGCTTTCTATCACCACTCCAATGTAAATTCTGCAGTAGCTGACTACCACCACTTTTCATATTGAATTCTCTGCTTTGGCACTCCCACTGACTCCAGCATATTTTCTGTGTTGTGTATCATGGGAGGTGGGCCACATATAAACGCAATAAGGTCATGTGACTTCATCCTCTCTACCTCAGTCTGGATATCATCACGACAGATTCTCTGACCTGACAATGAAAAAAAGACTTGTATAAACATCTTATGTAAAATTCTGCTAAGCAATAAATATTTACTTTTCAAATGACTTTATTATTACAAATAAGGAGGTACAGTTGAACTCCAGTATCTTGAATGCTGATATCTTGAATACTATGGATATGTTGAAGTGATTTGAAAGTCCCAACCACTATTTTCTTTTGGTATTTTAATCTCAACATCTCTCCACTTCTCTCTACCTTCGGATATCTGTGTTTTTTCTAGGTCCCATTGAGTTTGAGATAATGAGGTTTGAGGTAGCTTAATTTATATCTTCATAAAACCAATTGCTCATCATGTGATGAAACTGCCTCATTGCTGTGTGTGGTATAGTAATTACACTAGGTGGGGATTACAGACAAATTTTCAATTACTGAATAAATATATCATAAAAAATTCATTTTTTAAATATTGAATCAAGGATCAAGTAAATGTTTAAATATAAGGAAAAATAGTCTGTTGGATAAATACATGCATTTGTTTTTTCTGTGACTTGTTACATGAATTATGAACCAAATACAATGTTCAATTTTAGTTACTGTAAAATATTGCTTATTTACAAGACGTTAAAAATTTTGTGATTTGAAGAAAAAATACACATGTACTGGTATGTGGGGATTTAATTTTGTAGTTGGTAGACAAATATAATTCTGATTTCTTTGTGGAAGACCAAATTTGTGGATTGTTCACGAAAATTTAATCCCCTACAAAGATGAGCGATTTCACATAAACTAATGTATCAGAAACCTTTCTTCAACAGTTCTTACACCGGACTGTGCTATGAGGTACCCTTTGTGCTATTAATGCAGTATATTTTCTAAGCTGTAGACATTTTTGAAACCCTCCTAAAATGTTTGCAGTTTACATGATGAAGCAAACTACAGGACTTCTTCTAGTACTCACTCCCTTTAAATAAATACCTTGAATCTCACTTCTGAGCTGAGATTTCTCTTTGGTTATAAAGCTCTTGTAAGACAGGATCCCTGAGTTCTTTGTACACAATCTTTTTATGTCCTCCTACAAAATAATATTCAGTGCTCATGTACTCATGGAAATTAGCTTCACATTTGGATGGACTGACTTAAAGAGAAAAATACTCCAAATTTAAGAAAACACTGGTATCAAAGATTACAAAGCTTCCCTGACAAATGATACATATATTAATAAAAAGATGCAATCTACAAGCAAATAAATCTGCAATAAGATGTTTTCAGATAAGATGGTGTCCTTCTTTCACATCTGAAAATAAACATCTGCTGTAAGACTAACTTGGTGCATCCTTAGTTTCATGTAAGATATTGGTTCTGTGGGGATGGGGATTGCTTGGGAATGAATTTAACATGCTCCAAAAACTTGAATCCAGAAACTCATTCAAAAAATACTGGTCACAAGACTAGCAACATGAATCCTTAGATGCATTATTAAAGCCATGTTGGTTTGGTCCAGATAGGTTTGTAGTTTTTTGAATAGACCTTCAAATTGTGAACATAAATTTTCGTAAATTATCTCAATTTATTTATTATGACAATCATATTGTATTCATTGTTTGTATAATAAGGAGAGGATTTATTAAGTTGAAAGAACTTGCATCCAATCCTTTTGAATGTATTATTACAATAAAATATGTTCAAATCAATTGTGAACTAAATTGGGATTTAAGTTAGGTCAACATTTCAGAAATATAGCATGTGCTTTCTTCCATTTTTTTGAAGAAAGCTCAAAATCATGAAATGAGTGTTTAATTACTTAAGTCATTTATTATTTATAATTCCAAAAAAAAAAAAAATCATTATTTAACAATTTAACAAAGAGAAAAAAAAATTACATGAAAGATAAGTTCATCCATGGACGATGCACTGTAGAGTAGAGACACATGTTTAGGGGAGTTTGTCCAATGAGATTCTAGAAGATCTGTCACATGACAGAGGATGCTATGTATAGGATTGATTCCAATGCCCCCTGCTATTAGAAGTAGATCAGGAGAGGGTTTGTCTGGATCAGGATCAAAGTAAACATCACCACCAACTCGGATCTGAAGCTCTGTGCCAACTTTACACTGGAAAAAAAAAATATAATCAATATTATTTTATCAAAGAGAAAACAAATATTTCATTCAAACTGAAAGAATTTAAAATTATGAGCATATCCCCCCCCCATTTTTTTAATCACATAATTTCATTGAGATTAAACTCAAAGGTAGATATATAAAGCTATGCTTCAATGGTGTATATGTGTTGTGAACATAATTAGAACCACTTTTAAACAATTCCTTTCCCTTGATGTAGGTGTATAGTATACAAAAAAGCTTTAATGCATGTCTTAATTATCTTTGTCTTGAATTAATCTGTACATCCATATGTACCCTATCAAAATTCTATAAAAATTTCCAGAAAGACTGGGCAAAAGATTATTTTTATCATACTACCACTATGAACAAACATAGGTAGTTACCCACATTACTAAATTTCTTGTGCAGTAACTGAAATAAAGCCAAAGCAGTATAATGTACCTTTTCATGGATCCACTTTGCTGGAGGATGATCACTGTACTTGACAGCAAGGTCAAGAGTTCCCTCCCTTTGAAGAGTTCCTGGTGATGAACACATTGAGAAGCCTCCAACTTTCTCCAAACCTGGCAGGAACGTGTCTACCCTGTTATTTATATACAAGAGTATTTTCTCATAAGTACCAGATTACTGGTAAGATGATGAAAAATGTGAAACTGACATTTTGAATATTTTTAAAACAATTTTTCACTTATAACTGGTATATTCATAATTCAAAAAAAATAATCTGTATTGTACATTTCTCTCAAAGCTAGTAAGAAATATTGTTTCAACTATTGAATTAAACATTTTTGTTTTAAATTCATCTTATACACAAGTCATATTTAAAGATAAATGCACAAGTCTGTGCCATTTTTACAAAAATAGAGCCCAGTAGAATTGCAAAGTGAAGTGACGGAGAGAAAAAGACGGAGAGGACAAGACTCAATATCCCTTGATCCAAGTCCTGTAAAAGGACTCTGTCCCAACTGAAAATGACACTCTTTTATCAAAAACTTTTGGTAACAATTTCCAAACGAAAAGCAGATTGAATTTTTTAAGTGTATTTTCGTATCAAAGAACCTTGACTTTTGAAATTATAATGATTCATAAGATGTAAATAGGGAATAAGCCTACAATCTAACTCTTTATTCTGCAGTTAAACGCAAGACATTAATTAATATTTCCAAATTTTGCCACTTTTTCATTTAAGATTTCCAGTTCAAAAGGTACAGGACCCTGTTCCAAAAAGGGTCAATTAAGCCCTGGATGATTTCATATCTTACCATTGGCCTGCTTTGAAAGATAAGGATCTATCATGCACTTTCAGTGTCAAACCTTTGACCGTAGTGGACTCATTACGCATTCCTATGACTGTGGCTACACACACCACCTGTAAGAATCAACAGCATAAAAACCACAGGTTATACCTGTAATATTCAATGGCATGATGAATGTAAAACTGGACAGGAACAGACTGTTATAATCAACAGCATGATGAACACTAAATTGAACAGACACCACTTGTTATAATCAACTACATGTTGAACACAAAACTGGACAGGTACCACCTGTAATAGTCAACAGCATGTTGAACACAAAACTGGACAGGCACCACCTGTAATAATCAACAGCATGTTGAACACAAAACTGGACAGGTACCACCTGTAATAATCAACAGTATGTTGAAACATGAAACCAGACAGACATCAGCTGTAATATTTAACTACCTGATGAACACAAAACTGGACAGGGACAGGTGAGGTTTATAGACCATAAAGTTAACTGAGAACTAACTTAACATGCTTAAGTCAAAAAAACTCTCTAAAGAATTTTGAAAATAAAACGAAATTTTCATTATGTGATCGCATTTGACTATGTAATTAGCTATAGTGTTTGTTATAATGAAAATGATGCAAACTGAACTTTTATAAGCTAACCTGTTCCCTCGAATTCTGAGCTGTTCTCTGTAGATGGTCAGATTTAGTGGACATCAGTTGTATTCTAAAAAAAAAAAAAATAAAATTCATTATAAGGATATTCGTTAGGCTAATTTTTTTAAATCAAGATTTCTGTCTGTATCTTTGGCAGATCTATTTAAATATAAATCAATTACCTTTTATCAAATTGCCACAAGCAGTTAATAACAAGTTCATTTGATTCTGGATAATTGTGGTTGTATTATAATCACATTTGATCACAAGTTACAGGTAGCTGCAGAACTGTAGCATTATGGTTTTATATTTTAGTCTGTAACAGGAAAGGAGAAAATAAATGGCTGGACCGGGAATTGAACCCGAGACCCCTGCATCACTTGTCAGGTGCTCTACTGACTGAGCTACCTGGGCCGATATCCACGGCCCAAACCATTACAAATCTTTGACCATAATGCTAGAGATCCTGTAATGCAAATATGGCGTAATGCAAATATGGTGTATTTTACAGCACAAAATTTTCTGCACACTTTGGGGATGTATTTTGCCACTTTCCAGCATTGGTCAATCAACTTCTTTTCATTCCCTAATTCTAGACATATTCTATAACCAATCTATATATTTTATTCATCTCCTAACGTTTTCTAGTCATCTCTACAGACCAATAAACTCGCTTGTTGTGAATTTTATGCCATCCGACAGCAAATTCACAACAAGAAAGTTTATTGGTCTGTAGAGATGAAAAGAATTAGGATTAGGAGGTGGATAGAATATATACCGGTTAGTTATAGAATATGTCTAGAATTAGGGACTGAAAGGTAGTTAATTAATTGACCAATGCTGGAAAGTGGTGAAATATATCCCCAAAATGTGCAGAAAATCTTGCGAAGTAAATTGCACTATATTTGCATTAAGGGATCTGTAGTGTTATGGTCAAAGACTAAAATATAAAACCATGACACTACAGTTCTGCAGCTATATGTTATTATTATACTTTCATGTTAAATACTAAAATCTGATTGGTTAAGACGCATTTAACAATGCGTAATGTTACCCTCAGCGTTAGCAACACACTTGACAACAGGTAACATTACGAAAATATCACATGCGTTCAAATCATGCGCGTACGGTTCACCGTAGAATTCTCAAAACGTCGGTTGTGCGTTTGAAAGAAGCCGAATAAACGACGTCAATAAAAGCTTGCGTCCGATGTAGCTTACTTGAAAACAACAAACGACAGACGAAACATCCTTGCGAGTGCAAACTTTAGATGATAAAGGACTTTTTGAGTAGAAAACAAACAATAGAGAGGTTGGTAAATCTTTTCGGAAGCTTTCTTATTGAGAAAAATATAAGCGGGGAGTTTGAAAGCTTTCTAAGTGTGAACTTAACGACGATCTCCGAATTTTTTTTTATGACATCCGAAATCAGTAAGACATTCAGTATAATAAAATAAATAGTGCACGTTTTTGAGGGTAACAGTTGAAATTGACACCCCTCGGAAAACCATTGTCAACCTCCGCTGACGCGTCGGTTGACAATGGTTTTCCTTGGGGTGTCAATTTCAACTGTTACCCTCAAAAACGTGCACTATTTATATATTATAGGCAAATATTTCATGTACAGGTCTATCCCTTTCAGGGTACAGTGACCTGTATAAAAAACAAATACCTGTGATCACAGTACTAATTAAGCTCAGGTATAAATTTAGTAGTGTAAAAAAAAAAACTTTTAAAAATAAGCTAAAGGATAGGTGTTTTCTCAGACACTAGCCCTACAAAGGTATGTAACTGAGTGAAAATATGAATTTAATTAATGAATCCTTGTACTTAAAACATAATTAACTTCTTTCATAGGCAGATCATAAGAGAGCTGCGCATAACAGCAAAACAATGCCGACACGGTCCAGGCGAATCTCAGAATAGAATCCAGTTTGTCAGTTGTCACTGGATATTGTATTATAAATAAAGAAATATACGTTGTTTACTTACAGTTTACACCATTATCGACCGAAGGACTATTTAATTGAGTATCCCAAAATTTGAAATGAATTTATGAGTGTTCAATACAAATGCACTTCACTACAAATCAGTACTGTAAACAGTTTTAATGCTAAGCAGACGATCGTTATGAAACATATCCAATAAAAATATTTTTAATAGATTTAATATACGTAGTCAAATCTACATGGAGACATGTATATTAAATACCTTTTATAAAACGGAGAAGTCTTTCTAAACAACCGGTAAACTCCTTTCAAAGTCATTATATTAGATAATCAAGACCTCTGGACCCTGTTCGTCTACTTTCACTTTCAGGGGTAGGCTAATATCCGCGAAAATGATATAGGACCAAAAACACTTCATTTCAGTATTCAAGCAAAAAATACCACAGAATGCTATGACTAAATACACATATAAAACATAACAGATAGGAAACATGTATACATTATCGCAGCACTATGAAACTTGATGCAGATCGATGTACTTAAAAAACATAAGTTACAAGACACATAGATGATAAATTTTACCTAAAAGAGGGTGTTGCAGAAACTCGCGATTATTCCCTAAATCGAGAAGGACATTTAATTACCCACGACGCATGAAGAGTTATCTCTAAAGATAATGCTACGTAGATGACTTTATTTATATGACGGGTATGTCCAGCTTGTTATAACAAAACATTTCACAGTTTACGTTTATTTCATGCAACATAGACTGGACTAAACTTTTTTTCCTCATCTATGGCCACTGTCGCCATATTGCACGAGAAAAGTTAGAACGATAAAAAGCACGTTAATGACAAGTGCACCTCGCATATCATTTTGAAAGATGTACTGTAGGCAGCATGCGTTAATATTTTTCAATATATAAACATGATAAACTTGTGTATGAAAAAAATAAATTATTAAAAATGATAGTACTTTATTTTTTAAAGACATCGCCACTAAATAATAACTTTAAAGTATGTGTCTTATTAGTTTTAGATCACAATATCAAGGAAAACAATTTAAATACCCATTAACTTTCTCAGTAACATTCCCTCCCTCTCTCTTTCTCTCTCAAGAGAGATGTTACATTGTACTTCGATCCATTATATAAGAAAAAAAAATACATAATTACTTGTACCAGCCATTACAGGATTCGAATCCATCCTCAGTTAAAAGAATCTTTGCAATAAGTCCACATGCTTTATCACTAGACCAGCTCCAACAGTGAAGTATCGTGTGCTATTTTATGTGCACATTTTGCATTTCGGATGGATAATAATTTTTATTCGATTTTTGTGATTTTCAAAAATATGCCTCTTTGAAACAAAAATCAGAAATGGCAGTTTTGCAGAAAAATAATGTCTCTTTATTCGTATATCAAATTCATTCTGTTTCAAAGAGGCAGTTTTTCAGAACAATGTGGATTCCCTATTTGAAAAACAGAAAACTTGACTTATTTCGCTATGTGACTAATTTACAATTCATTTAATGGCAAATTGGAAGTCGATGTGCAGTCGATGCAGACATTGTGCTGTATATATACCGTTGTATCTGAAAATATTTAAGACCGTTTTCTGTTACTCAAAATTTTTCTTTCAAACTGCTACAACTTTAGGGAAAATAACAAAAGAACTGCAACACCCTCTTTGCCCATAAAAGCATTAAAAATGCTTATTTGCAACATAGGCACTTCCCAGTTAAACTGTTAAAAAATATCAATTATACTTTAAATATAACATGAAAAATTAGTTGCTTCAAATTAATAGCCAATCGAACGAAATAGTTTTGTAAAGGACATATCAACGAACAACAACAACAAAAATATTACCCTGCACGCTCTATAAAGTTGTTTGAATTTTACTTATAAAATACATTTCTTTCTGAACATCATGAAGTATTAAAGTTAGTGAACAGAGGGATTATGAATCCTATGAAATAGAGGAAATAATTAAGGTATTTAGTGTTTAAAATATCTTCTTCTCAAGAACCAACCAGTCAGAAAGTAGAAAACTTGTGTGGAAGCTTTATTTTAAATTAAAAAAAAATTAATTTATTTGTTCAAAATATTCTACGTGGTTGGGTTATAGCCCAAAATGATTTATCACTTTTACATTGAAAATTTTTAATGCATAGGGAAATTTTAAAAGCTTTATAAAAATAAATATCTCCTCTGATCACACGAACTACAATTAAGGCTACAAATTGTAAAACTTATTTGTATTCATAAAAGCAACTTAAATTCATGTAGTATAAAAAATGTTTAAATTTATTTGTCCCTTATGCGGTGTTGTATAGAAAAAAAATCCCCTAAATAAATTGCTAAATGTTCTACCATGGGGAAATTCTGCTACATAGCAAAGATTCCTCTTAGTAGACCTTGGACATAGCCAACACTTTGATCCAGAAATTTTCATAATGCGAATATTAGGTATAAACATAGATATGATTAAATTGACTTTATAACCAGAAGTCTCTGGCGAGGCTGTAGCTCTACTGGTTGTACTTGTAACAAAGGAAGGTAAAATAGCACTTGGACTTGAAACTTTGCAATAGCAATAAATAGAATATTGATCCTTGTTTTAGTCTCTTTTTTTGCAAGATTTATTGCAATTAGACTAAAACTGTGGGAGGAGTAGCCTTTTAAAACAATTTTACAGAAATTTCGATTTTAGTAATCATGGCAACATCATTCAACAAAATCAAAAAACAATAAAGGCAATAATGTATCTCAGTGTACTCTACTTGTGTGCCAATTTATACCGAAATCAGACCAAAACTGTAAGAGGAATACCATTTTGAAAGTATTTCAAGGAAATTTCTATTTTTAGTAACCATGGCAACACCGTTCATCGAAATCAAAAACCGATATACAGAATTATATCTTAGTGTAGTTTCCTTGTGTGCCAAGTTATACTAAAATCAGACCAAAAACTGTAGGAGGAGAGGGTTTTGAAAGTATTTCACAGAAATTTCTATTTTTAGTAACCATGGCAACACTGTTCATCGAAATCAAAAACCAATAGAAAGAATTATGAATCTTATTATAGTCTACTTGTGTGCAAAGTTATATTGAAATCAGACCAAAACTGTAGAAGGAGTAGCATTTTGAAAGTTTTTCACAAAAATTTCTTTTTTTAGTAACCATGGCAGTACCGTTCATTGAAATCAAAAACCGATATACAGAATCATGTATCTTAGTATAGTCTACTTGTGTACAAAGTTTTACCGAAATCAGACCAAAACTGTAGGAGGAGTAGCGTTTTGAAAGTATCTCCCAGAAATCTCTATTTTTAGTTACCATGGCAACACCGTTCATCGAAATCAAAACCCGATACACAGAATTATGTATCTTAGTGTAGTCTACTTATGTGCTTAAGTATGCCAAGATATATTGAAATCAGACAAAACTGTAGGAGGAGTAACGTTTTGAAAAATTGTTTACAGACAGACAGACGGACGGACACCTTACTTATACCGCATAAGCTCTTCTGGTCTCTGACCAGTAGAGTTAAAAATAGAAGGGGATCTACTATATCACTGGCAAACATTCGGGGGGGGGGGGGTGTAATGCAAAGAAGTAGAGAGAATTTGCTATATAGCAAAAATTCCTAAGGAGAACAATTGTAATATAGCATTTTTTTTGTACGGATAAGATTTGCTACATTGCAAAATAATCGGGGAAATTTTTCACGGGGAATTTTTACAAGGGAGAATATTATTGCTATAGAACACCGAAAAAGGACCATAAACGGATTCGAACTAATGTACAGAGAATGTATTTTAAAAATCTTCTCGGGCTACAAATTATAAAACTTATAAGCGACAATTTCATGTAGATTCAATTTTACTCAAACCAATGACTTTTGGTAGGAATAAGACCATAAAGGGGTCTGAAGGTTTACAAGAAAATGTATGTAAAAATCCATCTTTTTCTCAGGAAGATGGGACTGCATTATGCAATGAATGCCTTGTAAAAATAAAGGAGATGGGGAGGGGGGGGGGGCAGTGGGGGTTTCACTTCTTTTTGTTATAACTTTAAAAAATTGGTTTCTATACAAATCTATACTAAAAAAGTCAAATCTATATTTAAAAAGTCTAACATTTCCAATGTTTTACTGAGCGGTCATAAAAAAAAGTCGATGTTTGACCGCTGAGTGAGATATTGGACCTGTCGATGAAGTATTAGACCGCTTACGTCACAATGTGGGCGGGATCAGCTAAATCTTATTTGCATTCGTTGGTGTTCGACAGTGACAGAATGGAAAATAAAAGGTATAGCAAAAAATTATTGACTGTGATCTCAGACAAAATGCGTTTTGCCCACCCCTCGAACCAAACTGTTTGCCCTCGAACCCAGTCAACAACATTTATTAATAGTCACAATAGACCACAGATCTCTCACTTTTTTTTAAAATATGAAGGATAATTTCTAGTTCATGAAAGTGTAAGGATATACATGTGTATGTCAAACGCGTATCGAGATTCGTTATTTTTTTTTAGTTTCTAAACACACTTCTTCTAGTTTATCGCTTTAAAACTCTATCGCAACATTTGAGACGTGGAATTCGATCGAAAATTTTGATAAATATTAACTTCAAAACTATGTCCATGCCTCTTTAAAACCCATGGATCACTTGTTTTTACATATAGCTTGAATCTTTTACTTTTCTAAATGGAAAAAGTTAATTTTCTAAGGATATGACCTATGTTACAGGCCTTACATTTCTATAGTCAAAGGTGGTATATAAGCTTCGATTTTTTTTTCGAGGTAGGAAAAAAGTTAAAGGGTCACTAAAGGTTCAAAAGGCGTAATAACTCAAAGTGAAAAGGCTTGCGCATTTTAAAATAGGTGTCATAACGTAAGTAAGTAATAAGTAAAAAATTAATAACACAAATACAAATTAAGAAGACGTTACAACGCTGAAAAGATTAAGGGGTTAATGTCCTTCAAAATTGGCGTTTAACACAAAAGAGAAAAGGAATTATAACACATTTTGAAAGGCGTAATCACATGAAATGGAAAGGCAATATAACTTCGTATTATTACTCCTTTTGACCACAGGAGTTCGCATACCTATCAATTTAACCGAAATTTTCAGTAAATAAAAAAAATACGTAATACCTATAATATTATTATAGGTATTACGTATTTTTTTTTACTGAAAATTTCGGTTAAATTGATAGGTATGCGAAATCCTGTGTTTTGACAGACCTAAAGACGCATCTTCGATCGTGATATCACGCCTTAATTTTGATTCGCGTTATAGAACGTCCTTATTCGCATTGGTATGCCTTTATAACTTCGTTTAAACGCTCTATAATGCCTTTTCCACGTTTTAACACCTTTTGATTTGCCTAATTACCCTTTTTCACCTTGCGTTATAATGTTTTTTCCCTGTCTTTTGGTTCCCTGTCTGCTTTCGCAGTATACAACCAGTTTTCAGTCAGACATGTACATGTACATAAAAGAATATTTCAAGAACAGAGAGCCATAGAATCAGCGACATGAAAATTACAAAAGTGCAGTTCATCACCGTTAATTCGTTTTTTCCTGCAAATGTAGGGGAAAAAATCGTTTATTTATTCACTAGTAATTCATAAAGCATTTAATAAATGTCAGCCTAGTAAAGCATTATCCTTTCAAAAATTTGAAGCAAATAGTTTATTTAATATTATAAACAGTTCCTTAAACTCAGGCAACTATAATTCCATAAACTTGTTGTGGGCCATGGTCTCTCCCTGAGTGAAGACAATATCTTTAGAGAGTTTGTGCACAATACACGGAACATTAGTATATTGCTTGGAACCAAAGTAAGTCTTCGAAGTCATCTTTTCTGTGACGTGTCTCAGGACCTCCAGAAAGTTGGTTTTGTTATTTTCCAGTTTCCCATTTCCATAAAACTGTTCCACAGCCTCGTATAGATATTTCAAAAGGTAGCTTCCCATGTCAAGGTTTCTTACAGCATAAAGACCTTGTTAATTATAGAAAAAGTCATCTTATCATAGTTTGTCACCTCATTGGATTAAAGTTGCATTTTTTAAAAATTGAAATTAAAATCCTAAAAATGTCTATGCTTTGTAAAGAAGAGATTAGCGTTTGGACCTAACCTTGTGGCGAGGCAAACATAACGAGCATGTCATTGTGACAGGGGACTGGTGTTATGATGTTCTTCTCTTGTGACAAACGGATTCCACGAGGAGGGTCGACCACATCTCCTGACCCCAAACGATTTGCTTGAACTTCTGAACCATTATTCTCTTCTGACTGTTTCTGAAAGAAATTAATTTGTTTCTTTTATATTTTAACAAAGTCTTATCTATTTTATATTTTTAAATCAAAGTTAGTTTCTCAAAGCAAAACAGTTGAAAAATGGTAAAAAAGCTAAAATTAGAAGAGCTCTATTTATCCAACTTAACTGCTGTATTTTTGAATGAAATGAATGGTTGACCCAGGCGGTTCTAAATACCTGACCACTGGCCACTGGAGGAGGAGGTCTGTATCCCCCCTGTTTATCTTCATCCTCTTCTATATCGGTATCAGACACATCTTCTTCCTTAATAACTAATTCTACTTGTAAAATAATTGTAAAAAGTATATAAATCTATTTATAATAGAATTGAAAATTATATCTAACTCTACTTGAAAAATAATATGGAAAAAAGTATTTCAATATGCATGTAAAAGAATTAAAAAAATATCTTAATTTACATGTAATTGTTTGTTTGTTTGTTGTTTAATGTCCTTTCAAGAATTTTTCACTCATGTTGAGATGCCACCACTTGCCGGTGGAGGGCTGCAAATTTAGACCTCTACTCGGCTCTTACGGCCTCTGAGCAGCGAGGGAACTTTTTTGTACCAGCACCAACTGCGACATGGGACCTCGGTTTATACGGTCTCATCTGAAGGACCAGTTTCCACGTCCAGCAGTCGAACCCGCGACGTAAGGATCAACTCCTTATGCCGCAACTCTAGAGGAAACGCTCTAACCACTGCGCCACGCAGGCGATGTAATAGAAAAGTAAAAAAAGTATCTAAATCTACTTGTAAAAGAACAACTTGTAAGAAAATTGTAAAAAAGTTTCTAAATCTACTTATAAAAAACTGTTACTGTAAAAGGTATCTTAATCTACTTGTAAGAAAACTGTAAAAAATAATACTGTCATAAAAATCAGACAGATCCCATTTAGTATTTGTTGACTGAAGTCTGATACAGGCCATCATAGCCCCCCCCCCCTTTTTTTTAACTGTTAAAGAATTGACCACTAAGTTGTTAATATTAACATTTAAATACAGAAATTGAATGTTTATGACTATTTCTATTATTATATTAATAAAGTAGAAAAGGTATAGACAAAAGAGAATTTTTATCAATAAAACATGTATTATATTTTTGTTGAACTTGCAGAAAATTACCAACCTTTCTCTGATATGTCATCTGACCCTTGATAATCAGTCTTATCGCCACCAGGCTCATTTTCCCCTCCACTGTATTTATGTGCACTGGTTCCGTGATCAAACCCAATTCCAGAAAGTCTTTGTTCTTCCGACGCTTCCGTCTCCGGAATTCTACACGCCTATAAACGGAAAATGAAATAAACACTCTCATCTGCTGTTCGTTTGTTTTTAGCCGGGCTAATTGCAAATAGATACGTTTTTGACGCAATATGACCATATCGCGGCATGGGCAACACAGGTAATACGAAATAAACTAATTTTTCTATCCAATCATATGGCGCATTACAACCAGAATTAATTAATATGGAGTAAACTTTATGATAAACGTGACTTTATCTTTTCTATCGTCGACTTTCCTGATTTATGTTGTAATATAATACCATTATCACCTGCATGTAGAATTGATTCGATACGCAAGGGCATGTTTTACGTAAGCACAATTTCTAAAATGAGGCAGGCTTCTGACAAATAAGTTGATGATACAAGGTCATCAACAAATTCTTTTGAAGTCAACATTTTGCAAATTTTATGTTCTATACAATGACATTGTTTGCAAAATTAACATAATCTGTTGTTACTGAATTGTATATGAATTTCTCCGTTTACGCGATCATGACAAGGGGCACACATAAATGTATAATTAGCTTGAAAAAATTAGAAAAAAACTGATTTCACCTGAATAAAGAACAGCTTAGGTTTGCCTCTCAGTGCTTTACATTTTCCGTAGCTGAAGTACTCTAGAATCTCACTAGTGCTATAGTACTCCCCATCAAACATCTGGACGGCGTGTTCTCGGACCGTAAAACCTCTCTCTTTATCAACCTCTTCAAGTTCAAGACCATGGGTACTTATAGCAAAAACGAAACAGTCGAAGTCTTTCACTGCTGGATCTGTGGAGGCTAGAAATATAAAAACCTACGGATGTGATCATAACATACTCGGATTCACATCATCACTACCTATTCTTCTGGTCATGGCACCATTATTTAAATTAAACACCAATAACTAAATTAAACACACCGATCTGAATTGATATCACGAAACATTGCAGTTATGATCTAGAAGGCTTAAAATCATATCTCAGACATGATGTGATATATAAATATCACATTGTACTGTATAGCATATTGAAGACATGATTTTGAATCAAGGTAAGTGTACTTTTTTAAAGTAATGACAAAAAACAGGGAGTTTGAACTAATTCCAATAAATAGTTGACAAGCATAGCTCGGGAACGTTGTTTGAGAGGCAAGTGAAAAGGCCATTGCAGTTTAAGAATTATAAACAAAGTTACCAACGATGTAAACCTTATTAATTTTTAGATGGATAGAAAGGAGACAAGCACTAAGGTCCACCGAGACAACATTTTTCAACCATTATATAAATCTAGATGTCATTGACCAAAAAAATCAAACACAGTTCAATTCTACTCTTAACAGAAATAAATCAGAACTATCTATTTTTTTTTTACACGTACTTACTTTCACTTAAAATTCTCTCAAAATCTGAAGTGTATACATTTTCGTAGGAAACTACTTTAAATCCTAATCGTTTGAAGGTCTTTTTCATGTATTTCACATCAATCTTAGCTCCTCCTCTTTCCAATAAAGGACCAGGCCCAGGTTTGGTGAAATTTGTTATAACCAGCGCCAGACCCTGGTATTTCCGCGAGGGATTAAACTGGTACTCCATAATCTACAAATATGTATCATTTGAACATGTTGAACAAAAAAAAAAGGTAGAAAAATTTTAATAGAATAACAAGATAATATTAATATATCTCATAGGAACAAAGTATTTGAACCGAAAAATGCACCAGATAGAAACAAGACATATCAACTATCGCTATGATGAGTGTTGCCCACTGAGGTTGTCTGCATCGTAAGAGGTTAACATCGTTATTTGTACAGCAAAATTTCTCGAATTTCACAAATTTGTCTGTCTATCTATCTATCGCTCACACAGGTATTACATTACAGGAGTTTAAAGGGGTCTTGACACAATTGCATCGTGTACAATTTTAAAATTCTATTTTTATTTAATACAAACTTCAGTTTAATGATTTGAACTTATATAAATATTCTAAGCTTTCAATGACAACGACATTCTCGTAACGTGATGTTTCGAAGAATGTCGTCATAGTTTGTAAAAAGGGTACGAACTCTGTTATCGTTAATACATTTTACCGGGTGTGTTCAATTTATTTAGTCTGCACACATCACTGAGCACGAACTTACGAGTTACGGCACTGGCTAGTATTGCTTTCTCGAATTTCTACTCTGTACTTTCTGGATTACAGTTTTCCTATTATTCATTACTACACAGCACAATTTCTTAAGTATTATGGATAAAGTTTACTGTGTGAAAGTGCAAGATTATGTGTCAATCAAACGCGTCCCGAAAATCGTAGATTTAATAATCTCCGGATAAAAGAATTTTCTAAACACAACATGTCAAGATTATCCATTCTGGTCGTAACATTTACTTCTTCAACATGTCCGTAGGAACCGGCGGGGGGGATTTTTGATACTTGATAGTGCCCCCCCCCTCTCCAACTGATCAAAGTTTATACCGAGATCGACAGATTAGTAAACAGAAGATATATATATAATTCCAAAAGCCCTGAGAGAACAATCACGTCCGAGTAAAGAAACTGTTAACGTTTACACATGGAAATAGGGAAAACTTATCCAATCTTATCTTATTAAAAGCCTAATTCTGATGACACAAATATAAACTAATTATCCACTTTCATTTAAATATCTGTAGCCTTACCTATTCCAGGTGTACAGTCTGTAGATCAGTAACGTGCCACGATGAATCATACAATGCTCACCTGAAAAAAAGCAGGTTATTGTCAGCACGATAAAATCTCACCAACAGTACTGGAACAACACAGCAGTAGAACTTACAATTCACATACTGAAAGAACATATGCTTACAGGGGCCTCACTTTAGTTGATGTTCCCACTTTCACTTCTACTTTCAGATTTTCCGGAAACTAAGTAACAACTTCCTGCAGTAAGAGATTTTATTTGTTATGTAATGCGAGTCTGTATTTGATTACAAAAACCCAATACATAGACACTGAAACTGCGGTTTTTGATTGTGCTGGAATCTGGATTCTGGATTTTTGAAACACTGATTGTTCCATCTTCCTTCGAAATAGTTTCACTTGGATTGCAGAAGTTTTTTCCTCTATTTTATATTTTAGCACACGTTTCGCTCACTTTGACATTTGGAAAGAGTAAGAGAAGTACTGATGAGAATTAAAAAGTGAAGTGTAATAAGTCAGGAATAAATATTCAAACTGTCAATTCCAAAACAAACCAAAAATTGATCAGGATAAAACAAAACATATACATAACCAAAAATAAAGTATATTTAGTGACCTACCTTTACTTACCTGTATTTTTGCACCTGTATCCAGGGTCCCTTCCGGACTCCTTTACCTGTATATACATGTATGTGCTACTTTTACAGATTTAATTTTGCTTGTGTTTATGACTTCATTTACCAGAACAAGATCATTTTGGTCCGGTTTTGAATTTATAGTTTACTTGTTATTTGTTATTATTTATTACACTACACAGTGCATTCAACTGTACTTAACGTGTAGCGGGAAATACAGGTGTAATAGCGAAACGTTTATTTAAAAAAAGCAAGATAGAAAGCATAACTCTCTCTCCCTGTATGATTAATTCTTCATGTATAGTAAACACCATTTACATGCAATAAATAAATAATCATTTACCGGAACATTATGAAAAAATATACATTTTGTTCACAGACCCAAGGAAAATATGTTATATAAATGGTACTAATATATGCAAAGTTTTTTTTTTGCATAGGCATTTAAAATTTTCGCATCACTAATGTTCGTTATTTGTAGCATTAAAACTTGAATAAAAATCTAGTATATTAAAAAAGGTTAATTTTTAAACTCGAGGAAGGAAGAAACTGCTGGTAAAATTTTGCCGAATAAAAACGATATCGAGTTTTCAAGATCAGTAATGAAATTTAATTTTTATTTCAGCTGCACAAGTTCTTGTCAGAAGATGATTACAGAATGAAATAAATTGACATCTATCTATCTATCTATCTATCACCACGCATATTTTACAACAACTCTTTAAGTAACATAACTGCCTTAAGTGAAGAAATATTTATTAATATAGAAAGCACAAAGAAATTCACCTTTTACTACGATACCCACTTCCGCTCCAACCCGGGGTTAAACTCTCGACCTACGGAATCTGTCTCCTAGCAGTACAGGAACAGCGTGCTAGACCGCTCGGCCATCTAGGCAAGTCAAAAACTTGCTTTCGATGCCGATGGAATTCTCGCGGCATTGTCTTACACTACACGGTCATTGTTGAAAATGTGTTTTATAAACAAAAATTAATTCATTATAATAATATGTATCGGTAACGATCCTCTAATAAAACTAATGTCCAAATACATGTAACTGTATCTCACTTCCATTCCCAATGACCGTGTAGCGTAGTGTATTAATATTTCTTTACTACATAACAAAACATTTATTGACTGTGTTCTCGGGAAAAATGTTGACCCCTCGAACTAAACTGTTTGCCTTCGGCCTAAGGGTCCAACAAAATGCATATTACCCTCGAACACAGTCAATAAATGTATAATATTGCACATTCTTGAGCTAATTTTAGTACATGGCAGTACAACCAATATCGCACAATCTTGTTGTGCCAACTTTAGGACCTGCATAAAACAGTACAATCTGTATTCCAGTTGTGCATTGCATATCATTGTTAAACTCTTTAAATAAAAGAAGTTTCTAAACACACTTTTTCTAGAAAATCGCTTTAGAACCTTCTAAGTACGTTTGAGACATGCATTTCGATCGAAAGTTACGAAATAAACTTCAGAAGTATGCCCATGCCTCTTCAAGGCCCATGGACCACTTGTTTTAAAATACATGTAGCTTTCTTTTACTTTTCTAAATGGAAAAATATGCCTCTTCAAGGCCGATGGACCACTTGTTTTAAAATGCATGTAGCTTTCTTTTACTTTCCTAAATGGCAAAAAATAATTTTCTCAGGATAAGGCCTATGTTACAGGTCTAAGGTGTGTTTCTGTAATCAAAAGTGGTTTACGCTGCGATTTTACATGTGGAAAGAAAGTTTAAGGGTCAACCAAAAGTAAATCAGAGGAAAGAAACTACCTATTTTAGTGTACGATCATATACATGTACTATACTTTCAAAAGGCGTAATAACTCGAAGGGAAAAGGCCTTTTAAAAAACGCCTTCGTTTGTAAAACTTTGAAGTTTGAAACAAAGGATGAAACTCTGCCATTCAGTAAACTGAAAGTTGACTGAAAGTCTACTGAAAGATGACTGAAGGGCAGAGCTCTGCCACTCGGTGACCCTTTTCAGACCTTTCAGTCACCATTCAATCTACTGAATGGTGTAGCTTCATCCTGTGAAAGTAATAACAACTGCTAATTTGTTTACTACCCCTTTTCACTTTACGTTACAACACATTTCCTCCCCCTTGTATTTTGATAATAATAGGCTTTCATAGTAAACAATCAATTGTACGTAAATGTACGTAAAAGAATATTTCAAGAACTGAAAGCAATGAAATCAGCGACACGAATTTTACAAAAGTGCAGTTCATCACCGTTGATCCGTTTTTCCTGCTTATGTTAAAAAAAACAACAAAAAACAAAAACAAACCCCAATTCGGTTAATTTATTTACTAGTAATTTATAAAGCATTTAATGAATGTCAACGTGATAAAGCATTATATTTACTCCAAAAATTTGAAGCAAGTAGGTTATTTTAAATTAAAAACGTCCCTTAAAATTAGGCAACTATAATTTCATAAACTTGGTGTGAGCCATGGTTTTTCCCCGAGTGAAGATGATATCTTTGGTGAGCTTGTGTACAATGCATGGTACAACAGTATATTCCTTATGACCAAAGTAAGTCCTGGACGCCATTTGCGATGTGACTTGCCTCAGGATCTCCAGAAAGTTGGTTTCATTATTTTCCAGTTTCCCATTTCCATAAAACTGTTTGACAGCCTCATACAGATTACTTAGAAGGTAGCTTCCCATGTCAATGTGTCTTATAGCATAATGACCTTGTTAATTAGGAAAGGTCATCTTAACATAGTTTGTCATCTCATTGGATTAAAGTCTCATTTTTTAAAAATTTAAAAAATTGAAGTTAAAATTCTAAGAACGTCTATGCTTTGTAAAGAAGAGATTAATCTTTGGACCTTACCTTGTGGCGAGGCAAACATAACGAGCATGTCATTGTGACAGGGGACTGGTGTTATGATGTTCTTCTCCTGTGACAAACGGATTACACGAGGAGGGTCCACCACATCTCCTGACTCCAAAAGATTTGCTTGAACTCCTGAACCAGTATTCTCTTTTGACTGTTTCTGAATGAAATTTAAATTCATTTCTTTCATATTTAAATAAAGTCTTATCTATTTTACATTCTTATAACAATTTTAGTATCTCAAAGCAAAACAGTTGAAAACTGGTAATAAAGCTGAAACAAGTAGAGTTCTATTTGTCCAATTTAACTGCTGCAGTATTTTTGAATGAAAGGAATGTTTGACCCAGGCGGTTCTAAGTACCTGAGCACTGGACAATGGAGGAGGAGGTCTGTATCCCCCCTGTTTATCTTCATCCTCTTCTAGATCAGTATCAGACACATCTGCTTCCTTAGTAACTAACTTTGCTTGTAAAATAATTGTAAAAAGTATCTAAATCTACTTGTTATAGAATTGTAAAATATATCTAACGCTACTTGTAAGATAATTGGGAAAAAAAGTATTTAAATCTACTTGTAATGGAATTATAAATGTATCTAAATGTAGTAATAGAATTGTTTGTTTGTTTGTTTAACGTCCCTTCGAGAATTTTTCACTCATATTGAGATACCACCACTTGCCAGTGGAGGGCTGTAAATTTTAGACCTCTACTCGGCACTTATGGCCTTTGAGCAGTGAGGGATCTTTTTCGTGTTAGTAACAACTGCGACACGGGAAGGTCTCCACGTCGCACAGTGGATTTGAACCCGCGACGTAAGGATCAACTCCTAATGGCGTGACTCTAGAGCAAACATTCTAACCACTGCGCCACTCAGGCGACGTAATAGTAATGTAATGTAAAAAGTATCTAAATCTACTTGTAAAAGGATTGTAAAAAGTATTTAAATCTACTTGTAAGAGAATTGGAGGTAAAAGTATCAAAATCAACTTGCAGGAGAACTACTCGTAGGAGAATTGTAAAATGTTTCCAAATCTACTTATATAAAACTGTTACAGTAAAAGGTATCTTAGTCTACTTATAAGAGAATTGTAAAAAGAAATACTTTGCTTAAACTGTTGTAAGAAATAAGAATACAGACTGGGCCCATTTCATGTATTTGTTTACTGATGTCTTTGGCACATGCCAGCATAGGCCATCCCTTTTTAATTATTAAAACATTAACTACCTGTTAATATTAACGTTTAAATAGAGAAATTGAATTTTTATGACTATTTCGTTTCTTATCTTAATAAAGCAGAAAAGGTATAGACAAAAGAGAAGTTTTATCAATATAACATGTATTATATTTTTGTTGAACTTGCAGAAAATTACCAACCTTTCTCTGATATGTCATCTGACCCTTGATAATCAGTCTTATCGCCACCAGCCTCATTTTTCCCTTCAATGGGTTTATGTGCACTGATTCCTTGATAATGACCAGTTCCAGAACGTCTTTGTTCTTTCGACGCCTCCGTCTCCGGAATTCTACACGCCTATAAACGGGCAATAAAATAAACACTCTCATCTGTTGTTCATTCGTTTTCAGCCGGGTTAATTGCAAATTGATATGTTTTTGACGCAATATGATCATATTGTGGCATAGGCAACACAGATAATACGAAATAAACTAATTTTTCTATCCAATCAAATGGCGCATTAACCAGAATTAAGTAATATGAATTAAACTTATAATATACGTGATGACTTCAACTTTTCTATCGTCGACTTTCCTGATTTATGTTGCAATATAATATATTATCACCTGCATATAGAGTTGATTCGATACGCAAGAGCATGCTTGACGTAAGGACAATTTCTAAAATGAGGCAAGCTACTGACAAATAAGTTCTGAATGAAATTTAAATTCATTTCTTTTTTATTTAAATAAAGTCTTATCTATTTTATTTTCGTATAGCAAAGTAAGTATCTCAAAGCAAAACCGCTGAAAAATGGTAATAAAGCTGACATAAGTAGAGTTCTATTTGTCCAATTTAACTGCTGCAGTATTTTTGAATGAAATGAATGGTTGATCCAGGTGTTTCTAAATACCTGATCACTGACTTTTGGAGGTCTGTATTCTCCCTGTATATCGTCATCCTTTTCTATATCAGTATCAGACACATCTTCTTCCTTAGTAACTAACTTTGCTTGTAAAATAATATGTAAAAAGTATCTAAATCTACTTGTTATAGAATTTTAAAATATATCTAACGCCATTTGTAAGACAATTTGGAAAAAAGTATTTAAATCTACTTGTAATGGAATTATAAAAGGTATCTAAATCTAATGTAATAGAAATGTATGTCTGGTTGTATGTTTAACGTCGTTTCAAGAATTTTTCACTCATATTGAAATGCCACCACTTGCCAGTGGAGGGCTGCAAATTAGACATGGGACCTTGGTCTATACGGTCTCCACTGTAGAGCAAACACTCTAACTTCATCGCCATGCAGACAACGTAATAGAAATATAATGTAGAATGTATCTTCATCTACTTGTAAAAGAACTGGAGAAAAAAGTATCTAAATCTACTTGTAAGAGAATTGTAAAATGTATCTTAATCTATTTGTAAGAGAATTGTCAAATATATCTAAATCTGCTTGTAAGAGAATTGTAAAAAGTATCTTAATCAGCTTGTAGGAGAACTACCCTTAGGAGAATTATAAAACGTTTGTGCTTATATAAAACTGTTACAGTAAAAGGTATCAGTCTACTTGTAAGAGAACTGTTAAAAGAAATACTGTACCTAAATTGTTGTAAGAAATAAGAATACAGACTGGGCCCATTTCGTGTATTTGTTTATTAAGTCTTTGATACAGGCTATCATAGGCCATCTTTTTTTTAATTACTAAAAATTGTTGACAACTTACCTGTTAATATTAACGTTTAAATACAGAAATTGAATGTTTATGACTATTTTTATTCCTATCTTAATAAAGTAGAAAAGGTATAGACAAAAGAGAAGTTTCTAATATCAATATACCAAGTATTTTATTTTTGTTGAACTTGCAGAAAATACCAACCTTTCTCTGATATGTCATCTGACCCTTGATGATCCGTCTTATCGCCACCAGGCTTATTTTCCCCTCCACTGTGTTTAGGTGGACTGGTTCCGCGATCAAACCCAATTCCAGAACGTCTTTGTTCTGTCGACGCCTCCGTCTCCGGAATTCTACACGCCTATAAACGGGCAATAAAATAAACACTCTCATCTGTTGTTCATTCGTTTTCAGCCGGGTTAATTGCAAATTGATATGTTTTTGACGCAATATGATCATATTGTGGCATAGGCAACACAGGTAATACGAAATAAACTAATTTTTCTATCCAATCAAATGGCGCATTAACCAGAATTAAGTAATATGAATTAAACTTTATAATATACGTGATGACTTCAACTTTTCTATCGTCGACTTTCCTGATTTATGTTGCAATATAATACCATTATCACCTGCATATAGAGTTGATTCGATACGCAAGAGCATGCTTGACGTAAGGACAATTTCTAAAATGAGGCAGGCTACTGACAAGTAAGTTATTAATACAAGGGTATCAGCAATCTCTTTTGAAGTCAACATTTTGAAAATTCTATGTTTGATACAATGACATTCTTTGCAAAATTAACACAATCTGTTGTTACTGGATTGTATACGAATTTCTCCGTTTACTCAATCATGACAAGGGGCACACATAAATGAATAAGTTTGAGTCTATAATTGTGCAAAATTTCAATTATTCAGTAAATCTGACAAAAACATTTTGAGAGAAGAAAATGATCTCACCTGAATAAAGAACAGCTTAGGTTTGCCCGTCAGTGCTTCACAGCAGCTGAAGAACTCTAGAATCTTACTGGTGCTATAGTACTTTCCATCAAACATCTGGACGGCGTGTTTTCGGACCGTCAAACCTCTCTCTTTATCAGCCTCTTCAAGTTCAACGCCATGGGTACTTATAGCAAAAACGAAACAGTCGAAGTCCTCCAGTGCTGGATCTGTGGAAGCTAGAAATGTAAAAATCTAAGGATGTGTTCATAACATAATCGGATTCACATCTTAATTACCTATCATCGCATTGTACTGTAACATTGAAGACATGATTTTGAATCAAGGGTGTTCTTTTTAAAGTCATGAACAAAAACAAGGAGTTTGAACCATTTCCAATAAAAAGTTGACAAGCATAGCTCTGGAATTTTGTTTGAGAGCCAAGTGAAAAGACCATTGCACTGTATGCTGTACATGTTTCCGTGTGGTTTGACCAGAGAATATGTTTGTCAGCACATTGACCCAGCATAAAGAACAAGGTACGTTATTGGTCGATTTTCGCTAAGCCTTAAAATATATTGACGGAAAAGTAGAAACCTTAATTTATATTTCTAACGATTTATGAATTGCTTGTATTTGATTTCGTATAACACATCGCAAATAGTGCTTAAAAGTGGTGTTTAAGAAATGGTAACGTCAGTTCCAACGTTCCTTTTGCTAGACAACATCAATGACGTACATATCTCGCTTGCGTCATATCAAGGTCCTATACACATTTATATGCATAGAAATGATGTACGATTTTCTGTAAACTATAGATCAATCCATCCAAAGATATTTTTTAGAATTTCATTTGCAATTAAGTTTACATTTTGTAATTTTCACCATGGCCATGATGTCGAGAGGATGACAGCTCGTACACGTGTATTGCATACCAAATCGTCAGACTGTCTGCATGTGACACACAACAACTACTTATTATCTAAACTTTTTCCAGGTGCTCAAATTACTATTTTCTTATCGATCTCACTCTATCTCAATATTTCCATTTCAATATGTCCATCTTTGATAGACTTTTTTCCCCCTATTTCTGATAAATCGTTCCAGACGTAGAGTTTCTTTATTGTAAACTACTCATTTATTCCTCGAATATTACACCAAAACATTTTAAGCACATTACAGAAAATACATAAACTTCTTGTTTGGGTTAAAATGCACGATAAAATTAGAGACTTCTAAACTTTTCATTCTGAGCAAAAATTAAGAATGAGCATTAAAAAAAATAAAATTAAATTGAAAAAAAACCTCCTAATTCAATTTTCTTCAGATACATGACTCCTATTACCATGATATACAAGGGGTCCGTGTTTCCTAAAGGAGTGGTGTTTTCCAAGATCAATTTTTGTTACTTTACATAGAAACTTTATTACGCCGAAAAATTTAAATATAAGAGGAAGGGAGGTTGCTCCGAGATAAAAGGCGGATCTAAGTTTAAAAAAATCGTATATAAAGGTCTTTGATGGTATATTTCACATCCCTGGCATTTTAACAAAATCCATGTTACAGAAATATCTGACATATAATAAATCTGTGTGCACAGTGCACATATTCGAAATATCCCAAAATGTAGAGGGCTAAATAAATATGGCCATAATTCATACATTAAACAAACCTACAACATCGATGAGAATTTGTCAAATAAGCTTCTTAAACGGGTAATTCTTCGGCAAGGATAGGATTGTGAATTTATTGATTAAGTCAGCAAAGTCTATCTTTATAATTTTTGTTTGTAATGATTGATAATGACGAGTTTTTTTTCAAGTGTGAGTTGTGCAAAGTACGTCGGTAAGGTAAATTCGGAAACGGGGGGGGGGGGGGGGTGATTCGAGACACCGTAGCTGGCATTTTTTTACAACGATCATTCGGACTACCATCACAAAGTAAGTAGTGATAGTTACTTGTAATATATATAAAGATCTTTGTCCTTTAAAATGCATAGTAACATAAAATATTATTTGAGAGATTTATTGATCATTTATCAGGTCATCATCAAATGCACATATATTGAGGAATGATAACACTGTACGTTCACATTCTGAACCACGCAACCTATGAAATTCCCGACAAGGAATGGTTAATCCTAAATTTAATGGATTTTATAAATGATAGACAAATAAATTATGAAATATGCTACAAATGTCATCTTTATATTTCACAAGAGATATATAGAGTACCTTTTAACGAGTGTATCTTCAGATATCAGACGAGGGGGCTTGTCCACTGAGTCTGATATCTGAAGATGCACGAGTTAAAAGGTAAAGTGTTAAAAACTTTATATGTTTTGTATCATTGTTCTCAGGTATTGAGTTATCCATGATCTATCAATTTCACGTTAGTGGCGTGATTCAACGATATTCTCATGTACTAATCGAGTTAGCCATGATCTATTAAAATTTCACCATACCATTTCATATGACCAAGAAAAAAAGCACGTGATTCGAAAAGTATACCGCGCTGTATTTCTTGAACTTTTTACTTCGTCCATTCAATTCTGAACGCCATGGATAATGGTTGTGATTTTATGCTTTCGCAATTCTTAGACACGGAAACCAAACTTTTGAAGGAAAATTCCTTAGATCAGTTAGGAAACCAGATACAGGTTAAATATTCTTTGGGAAGTATGACGTTTGATCTACAAGAACTAATAATTGAACCTCTTATAGGTTTCGATATTGGAGATATTTTACGAGGGTAGTTCCATAAATAATGCAATAGGTCATCTAAAAGTAGGAAAAGTACGTAATACATATTCTAAACATTTTCAATCCATCAGGGCATTCCCTGTTATCCTCTACACATGTCTTAAGTCTTTGTACCCATGAACAGAAAACCTCAGCATACCAATCTTTAGGGATGCCCCAAAGACACTGATGTATATCACTTTCCATGACATATCTAATGTTGTACAATCTTCCTTTGATTGTTTTCATGCGTTTTTGGAATAAAAAGATCTCACAATGGCTGAGATCTAGCGAATATAGGGGATGGAAAAGCTCTGTAGACTTTTTTTTTCTTCAGAATTTCATTTATTTCTCAGTGCTTATTTGCAGCAGCGTTGCAAGAAAATTACCCTGGGGGTGGTATTAGGACTTCCTTAGCAGGAAATCTGTATACCTTTCTTAAGTGCAATTTGAACATAAAAGGTACCATTGATGATCCTTCCTTTTGGTGTATGCACATGTTTTACTGGACCTCTTGAAGAAAAAGAAAAACTAATAAAACATGTGTGGAGCCCTTGTTTATCTTTACAATAATAAGAACAATAGCTTTTCCTTTGATTACACATTTTATTATTGATCTTCCTTTTTGGCTATGAAAAGTGCACCCATGTTTCGTCATCCATCACGCAAATTTAACAAATCTTCTATTTTGTTTAAATATTTGTTTTATATACACCGTTGGTACATTTAATGCGTGTTTTTCCTTAGGCAGTTTTAAGAAAATAAGGCACCTATCCGATAGAAGTATTATTATAATAATTGCCGTTGTCAGAATTCTTTAAAACGTTATGACGATAAAATGCTTAGTGTTCTAGCAATGTCTTTGGATTTAAATCTGACATTTTTAGATATCATGTTGCACACAGCATCAGTAATTTTTGGTGTCCCTACAAATTTCAATCGACCAGTTCGACTTCTATATTTTAACTCTTCCGTTTTTACTTTTGAATGTCTGAATCAATCAGAAAACTATATAGCGTTAAAGATTATTCTTTCCACATATAAAAATCATATCTTTAATATGAGTTCTTCTGCGATTAATGTAAAGAAGCACAGTTTTCACATAAGCTCTCATTTTCATTTTCTTTGCAGAGATCATTTTAAACAGTTTTCAGCTTAGTGTAGTGACCTTGCCTACTTTAAAAGTGAATTTCTTTGCGAGGACAATAGGAAAAATCATGGGGTTTTCTGTAATTAGAAACTCTTTAATTGAACATTTCAATTGTGAAAAAAAAAATTAAATAGATTAAATAGATCTATACTATGAAATACTGTTTATTGAATTATTTATTGAACGACCCTCGTAGATATGATGGAGACTGAGTTGAGTCCATTAATTTCACCAGCCCCGAGGCCGACAAAGACGAAAAATGAACGGTTTGTACAAGTGTCCGTTCATAAAATTCAGCGTTTGTTATACTTTCAAAAATAAAATAAAATAAAATAAAATCATAACACTCGTAAAATACCAAAATAGGCAATTTATATGTTCAAGCCAATCAAGGAGTGGCGTGGGGCATGGGAAAATGTCCACTTTTGACCAAGATGAACAGCGATTCTCTAAATTAATGGATGCAGCGATTTGTGTTGGAATTAAAAAACAGGAAGTCCATGTTCTACATTGTTTGTGGTTTGTTACGCTTCAAATTTATGATGACGAAAACATGTGCTCGTGTGAATTCCATTTTGGATTTAAAAATTGACGTGCAAAATTTAAAATTTTTTTTTTATGTAGACCTATGGAAAGGTGTACCTTCACTATGTTTATATCTGTGTTTGTATTTTTCTTATAAAGTCAGTTTCTTTGTTTATATTCTTTTTCTTTATCAATATTAGGTCAAGGCTAGGGTCATAAGAATTGTTGCATCAGTACCCTGGCGTGTTCTATCTTGATAGAGCACGGTTGTAGAGCACAGTTAGTCATGTATCAAAAATAGAAATCACAGTCGCAATCAAAGGAAAAAAAACACAGCAATGATATATATATATATATATATATATATATATATATATATATATATATATATATATATATATATATATATATATATATATATATATATATACATTCATTCGCTTGAAATAAACTTTTTTAGTTCCAAAAAACCGTTGTTGAAAAATCATAAATTTTCTCAGCCGAATATAGCCAATAACGTACATGTACTTTTTTGACGTTGTTCTTCAACTTTAATCTATTTCAATTCTACTCCTTGCAGTTTAAGAATGATAACAAAAGTTACCCAACGATGTGAACCTTATTAATTTTTAGATGGATAGAAATGAGACAAACACTGAGGTCCACCGAGACAACATTTTTCAACTAAAAAGTAAAGCTGGATAGCCAAAAAGCACAGTTCAATTCTACTTTTAACAGAATTATCTATGTTCACACCTACTTACTTTCACTTAAAACTTTTTCAAAATCTGAAGTGCATAAATTTTTGTAGGAAACAACTTTAAATCCTAATCGTTTGAAGGTCTTTTTCATGTATTTCACATCAATCTTAGCTCCTCCCCTTTCCAATAAAGGGCCATTGTCTTTGGTGAAATTTGTTATAACCAGCGCCAGACCCTGGTATTTCCGCGTGGTATTAAACTTGTACGCCATAATCTACAAAAATGCATCATTTGAACAAAAAAAAAAAACAAGAGAAAATTTTTTAATAGAATAACAAAATAATAATATATCTCATAAGAATAAAGTATTTAAACTGAAAAATGCACCAAATAAAAGCAAAACATATCAACAACTGCCATGATGAGTGTTTTCACTGAGGATGTCTGCATCTTAAGTGGATAAAATCATAATTTTTACAGCAAAATTTCTCGATTTCACTAAGGACTATGCACGCTAACTCTCGATTCCCGCCTTTATTTTATACCCATCTAATTCAGTATGAATAGCATTTTGGTCATCAACCTAAAACTTTTTTGAATGCAAAGAATAGTTCATTTAAGAAATAAACAACAATGTTAAAAAGTTCACTGTTTAATGAACTTGGTTGGTCATGTAATCAAATCCTGTGAAGCTCGAAGGGCATATTACCTGTACAAAGAATTTTTTGTTTCACGGGGGGGGGGGGGTGTTTTAAAAATATTTTCCGTTATCCATTCATTTCTATATTGATAAACACAAGTTTTATCAAATTTATACAGTTATCTCTCTTTGTTTTCCCAAATAAGTAATCTTTTATAAAAATTCATATAAATATCTGTATAAATATATATATAAAAAATCGTTCCAATGTGTCAACTTTTGAAAATTGACTTGGAGGTAGGCGGGAGAACAATACTATCTTTCGCAGTTCTTTGTCTGTCTATCTATGTAAATTATCGTTCACTGTACCTCAGTCAGTAGAGCGCTCGCTCCATGATCGGGAGGTCGTGAGTTCGAATCTCGGCCGCGACTGACCTAAGTCGATAAAAATGGGTAGCAACTGTTCCCTCGCCATGCGCTCGGCACTTTGAAGTGAAAGTTGCGGGTCCTTCGGATGAGACCTCAAAAACCGAGGCCTCGTGTCACGGCAGGCGATCCCTCACTGCTCAATGGCCCTGAGTGCCGAGTAAAGGTTTAAATTTGAAGCCCTTCACTAGTATGTGGTGAGGTCTCTATATGAGTGAAAAATTCTCGAATGGGTCGTAAAACAACATACAATCAATTAATCTATGTAAATCATATACGGTACCAATTTTGATGCACCAGATGCGCATTTCGACATGTCTCTTCAGTGATGCTCAAGCAGAAATGTTGGACAGCTGTTGGAAATCCAAAATATCGCTCACGCAGGAGGGTTTTTAAAGGGTTTATAGGGGCCGAAATAAGGCTGAAAAGCAGGTTATTTTTGCTTTAAAATTCCCAAACAAGGATCAAACGTTAAAGCATGGTAATCTTATTGCTCATAAATCTCCTTCACAGGCCCACAGATTGCAACTCAAAATTGTTAACTAAACCATTTTTTTTTTCAAATTGAAAGCCAAAAGGATTCCAATTGTACCTGCTTTATGCACTGGTTTGATCTTTTTCAGTATAACTTCTTTGTATAAAATGTTTTTACCAATTCCAAGCAATTGTCGCTATTTTTTCCCAATTGGAAAGGCCCAGGCCATTGAATTCAAGACCTAAAACCCTGCGCAGATATAATAACGTTACCGGAATTTAAAGGGCCTGAACACAGTTCATTGTGTCTAATTTTAGGAAAAAAAAATAACTTCAGTTTAATGAAATATTTTAAGAATTCAATGACAACGACATTCTTCGTAACAGGTTACGAGCTCTGTTATTGTTAGGTTTAAGTTTTACTGGGTGTGTTCAATTTATTTAGTCTGCACACATCACTGAGCACGGACTGACACAATTAACTGGCGAGTTGATATTGCTTTCTCGCACTTCTACTCTGTACTTTCTAGATTTTAGTTTTCATATTTTTTTTTTATTAATACACAACATAATTTCTAGTTTTCTTAAGTATTATGGGTAAATTTAATAATCTCCAGATAAAAGAATTTTCTTAACATGACATGACAAGATTTTCCATTCTGGCCGTAAGTTTACTTATTTGAAGTTTATACCGAGATCGATAGATTAGTAAACAGAAGATATATACACCATTCCAAAAGCCCTGAGAGTAAAATCACGTCCGAGTTAAGAAACTGTTAACTCTTAAATTACTCATGGAAATAGGGAAAACTTACCCAATCTTACCTTATTGAAAGCCTAATTCTAACGGCACAAATATGTACTAACGATCCACTTTTATTTAAATATCTGTAGACTTACCTGCAGAATTCAAGGTGCACAGCAGTCCGTAGATCAATGAACATGCCGCGATGAAGCATACAGTTCTCACCTGAAAAAAAAAAAAAATATACTAGTTATTGTCAGCACGATAAAATCTCACCAGCAGCATACTCATGAAAAAACATGCTTACAGTTGCCTCAGTTTTAGTGTTTATCGGATTTCCCACTTTGTCTATTTTCAGATTTTCCAAGTAACAACCCCCCTACAGTGAGAAATTTTATTTGTCATGTAATGCGAGTCTGTATTTGATTACAAAAACCCAATACATAGACACTGAATCTGCAGTGTTTTATTGTGCTGGATCTGCATTTTTAAAACAACTGATTAAACCATTTTCCTTCGAAATGGTTTAACTTGGATTCGAGGGAGGTGAAACGATCGGTGTATATATGTTACTCTTTAATTATTGCAGCTATGTGAACTACATGAAGATTTAGTCATGCAGAAATTTTTTCCTCTTTTTTATATTTTACCACACGTTTCGCTCAGTTTGACATTTGGAAAGAGTAAGAGAAGTACTGATGAGAATTAAAAAGTGAAGTGTAATAAGTCAGGAATAAATATTTAAACTGTGAATTCAAAACCTAACCAAAAATTGATCGGGATAAATATACATATCCATAATACATTGTATTAAATTTGTATATACATAATACATATATTTGGAAAACTTGTGCTACTTTTACGGTTTTAATTTTGCTTGTTTATATGAGTTCATTTACCAGAACAAATCATTTTGGCCCGGTTTTGAATTTATGGTTTATGTGTTACACTACTTGGTGCATTCAACTTTTCTTTACGTATACTAGAAAAAAACCCAGGTGTAATAGCGAAACGTATATATTAAATCTCTCTCTCTCTCTCTCTCTCTCTGTGACGACTTTCATGTAGTAAACACCATTTACATACAATAATAAATAATCACATATCGGAACAATATGAAAAAAATATTTATTATGTTCACAGACCCAAGGAAAATGTATTATTTAAATGGTACTAATATATGCAAAGGTTTTTGCATAGGCATTTAGCATATTCGCATCGCTAAAGTTCATTATTTGTAGCAACAAAATTTTCAAAGTTAAAGTATATTTTTTAAAAAAAAAATTCAGTTTTTAACTCGACGAAGGAAGAAACTGCTGGTAAAAAATTGCCGGATAAAAACGATATCGAGATTTCAAGGTCTGTAATAAAATCCATGAAATTTAATTTTTATTTCAACTGCACAAGTTCTTGTCAGAAGATGATTATAGAATGAATAAATTGATAGCCAATCCCCCCTCCCAATTCAGTAGATTATTTGTGTGACTTCACTGTTGTGAAACAAAGATCCTTGATGTTTTTGAAGGATATTTAACCAGAGTTTACCTTACTAGCGTCCGTCGTTATATATCAAAAACTTCTATTCTTGTGCTTACTTTAGTACATGACAATACATCCGTTATATCGCACATTCTTGTGCTTACTTTAGTACATGACAATACATCCGTTATATCGCACATTCTTGTGCTTACTTTAGTACATGACAATACATCCGTTATATCGCACATTCTTGCTTGTGATAACTTTAGTACATGTATGACAGTACAACTGTTATATCGTACAATAACTAAGAATGTAGCCACAAATAAATGGTATTGTGATATTTGCCTGATAAAAAAAGAAATCAAAGTTTGAAGGTCAGTAATGAAATCCAGTGTTTCTTGTCAGAAAATGATTGCAGAATGAATTAAAAAAAATAAACCTATATTTTTTAAGATTTAATAGATTCTAATGATGGCCTCACTGCTCTGAAATAAGGTCCTTGATGTTTGAATGATATCCGGAGTTCATTATTCTAGAGTCCGTTGATAAGTATTAAAAACTTCTATGTTAGTTTCACTATATGTCAAAATAAAGATGTCAACTTATATAATGACATGACAATGAAACTGATATCATGCATTCCAGTTGTGGGTGAATTAAAAAAAGACTACCAAATTGATTTAAAAAAAAATTTCAACAAATAACTAGCATCATAACGTACATATATTCTACTTAAAATTCTTTAAGTTGTAATAGAATAGATAATTCATTTGAAAAAAGAAAATATTACTACATCCTTAAAGACTTTCTAATATACATAATCAAAAGAAATTAAAGTTTTTTTATGTTTCAAAATGGTATCAGGGATATAAATGATTAGATCTAAACCTTGATTGAGTTTCTTTCCTTTCCCTATGGATGCAATGACAATGTCGATAGTGTTGGGAATCTTTCCAGTCCACAGTGCAACAATGTCAATGTGATGGGACTTTTTCAACCATACACAGAGACGTAAACGTAGTCATGGGCACCGGTCTTACAATAAACCTTTAATACACGATGTCTCTTTTGATTCGTTACTACCTTATGTAAATCAACAGTTAGGTCTTCATCACATTCGCACCAAACTTTACTCTGATCCTTTGAAACTTTAAGATAGTCTACTTGAAGAGGTCAAGGAAAGTCCATTTTTTGATTCCTCGACACCAGAATATAGGCTCAGATCTGTGATTATGGATATTGCAAATCATAGGCTTTTTAAACCGCCACGTTCTACAGAAGAAAATGCAGCTAAAACAACTCGTTTTCCCCTTAAACTCCAATATGCCAACAAAGGAACTGACGCGCTTAATATAAGTAATATTCTTAATCACAAAAGGGTCTAGTCTTGTATTCCACCATATTTCAAGTTTAAGACTACACCTTGTATTTCCTACAGATATACATCGACTATTGCTTCCAAACCTTTTAATTACAAAAAAAAACTTTACAGGACCTGGATATCGAATATCTGAAACACAATCCTCTTTCGTGTTCATGTTCTTCTTCACCCTATAACTATAGTCCTGCTGGACACGTTATTACTGGTGACGTAAATATAGTTAATAATGTGGACCTTAGATCACTAATTTTAAAAGGTCCTTAACAAAGGGAACCCCGATCCTTTAACTGGCGTCGTATTTTCATAAATATTATGGATTCTGTAGAGGATTACGCCAGGCGTTGGGTCAGACGTGAAAAAGAAGACCTTGATATATGTTGAAATCTCGTGTTAAACGATTGAGAGGCAGTATGAAAACCATCTATCCTTCTGTATTCAATAATTCAGAAGTGAAAAAAGAATGAAATAGATTATATGATCAGTACGTACTGGTCCCTGCTGACAAAGCAGGTAACAACATTGTCTTTGTTTGTAAGGCTCATTATATAAATTGTATTTTAGAGGAACTAGGATGTAAATCATATACGGTACCAATTTTGATGCACCAGATGCGCATTTCGAAAAATTATGTCTCTTCAGTGATGCTCAAGCCGAAACGTAGGAAATCCAAAATATTTACATAAAAAAGACTTGGAGCTGAAAAAAAGGTGCCAAAGAATGGAGCCAAATACCTCGAAGGATCAGAGCTATGCATGAAAGAGATAATCCTTAATTTTAAAACAATTTTCTAAAATCTACATGTACCACAGCAATTAAATATATATCCGTATTTTCAGGCTAGTACCGAAGTACTTGGTTACTGAGATGTAGAGACCCTCGGGGACATAATGTAAATCATTTAATTCTACAAGTGGTAATCCAACTTATACCCATAGCTCCTTTCTAAGGAGGAAATTCTACAAAATCATATGTCAGTTTTGAATATTTTTAATATTCCCAACAACCAAAATGAATATCTATATTGGATTCTGAAACTTCATAAAAATCCTTATAAACAAAGAAACGTAGCGGGTTCCATTAAATGTTCTACCAAGCCTCTTTCTTTATTCCTCACTAAGATATTAACAGTAATGAAGGAGAAACTTCAAGAGTACTGTGCAACAATATATTCGAGAGGTGGTGTAAATCAGATGTGGATACTAAAAAATTCAAAGGAACTTTTGAAACATTTGAGATCACAAAATTTTATCAAAATCAACAACATAAAACCTTACGACTTTTCAACTTTATATACAACTATTCCTCACGATAAATTAAAGTCCTGACTTTCTGACATCGTTGACAGATGCTTTTTCAATAAAATTGGAACTCGTAAATTTGCTTACCTTGTCATTGGTCATTTGCAAAATTACTTTGTTAAAAACCAATCTAATTGTACACACAAGTACTCTGAAGTTGACAATAAAAATATCTATGTGGTTTTTGGAGATCAATTATTCCAACAATCTATTGGAATTCCCATGGGTACCAATTGCGCCCCGTTATTAGCAGACCTATTTTTGTATTCATATGAAGCAGAATTTGTTCATAATCTTTTATGTGAAAAGAAAATACTTGCTGTGGCCTTCAACTCGACATTTAGATATATCGACGACGTATTGTCAATTAACAATGGTTATTTCCATTCTTATGTCGACACAATATATCCCGGTGAGCTTGAGATACGATACCACAAAGCCTGACACATATGTTTCATATTTGGATATTTTATTTAAAAAAGACGTTAATGGTAATATAACAACAAAGCTTTATGACAAACGTGATGACTTTAACTTTTTAAATCGTCAACTACCCTTACTTATGCAGCAATATACCCTTATCACCTGCATACGGGGTTTATATCTCTCAGTTGATTCGATACGCCAGAGAATGCTCTACGTATGAACAGTTTCTGAGGCGAGGTAAGTTACTGACAAACAAGTTGATGAAACAAGAATATCAGCAGTCTCGTAAGTTCGTCATCATTTCGTAAGTTCTATGGTCGATACAATGACCTTGTTAGCAAATACAATCTTTCATTAAGTCAAATGCTGACTGACTTTTTTCATACTAATTGTTAGGCCATTATTTACACACTGAATTATCGACGGATTTTTCCATTACTTCCCGATCCTGACAAGGAGCACACGGCGGGGTGACCGGTCGGCAGGGGATGCTCACTCTTCCCACCTCTGATGTCTTAGAGGTCCGTGTTTGCTCTGCTCCTATTTTGTAATGTTTAATGGACTTTTGAGCTCGAATACTGTTCGTTATCTCCACATATTTCATTTTTTCTCTTGTATATGTGAAATAAATTGGCTATTTGAGTATTTTACATTACTATTTTTTCAATTCTGGTTAATTGAAAAGTTTTAATATAAAAGAAATATGACATAATAAATTCCCCCAAAATTACTTTTTAGTCCATTTAAGTCAATTCTTTAAATCTAAGCTAAAAAAGAATTTTGATATACAAATTTTCTTACAAAAATATTAGATTTTGAAGTGATCCTATTTTACATTATTGTGTTGCACTCCTGACATCTGATATGTACTTTATGAAACAATGTTTTAAAAATCATAACACAATAACTCATTCACAGTATGTAAATCAGTTCGTCGTTGTGATATTTTTTATCATTTAAGGCAAGTTTTTCATACTTTCTAAACTTCAAAATAAGATTATTTGCTTGTGTAATATATATTTAAAAATATATGTTTATTGATGAAACCTAATCTGTGTAATGACTGTAAAATATCCAAATAATATCTGTAATTTGGTGATAGAAATAAAGATTTGAACTACAAATAACCTATCAAATATTTTCTGCGATTTATTATTTTTTTTTTGTCAAGATAGATAAAGTTTATTAATAATTATAAAACAGTTTTGTTGCACTCCTGACTGCAGTAAAATTTAAAAGTAAAAATATAGAATACAAAAATTCAAAAAGTTTTGGCAACTTATAATCCAATACTTACACTAGTGAATGGTTAAAAACACATAAAAGTATTTAAACCTGGCATTATATCTTGAATTATTTCCTATTTATGTCAAAATATAACCTCAAAATATATATTAAGAAGATAAAAGTATATTTTATAGTATATTTTCCTTCACGGAACAAATACTGAAAGCAATTTAGGTCAACCAGAAACATTCATCGATTTTTTCTTCATATTTATTCATTTTTGATCAGCAATAATTCTAATATTTTTGTTGCACTGCTGACCAAGAACACGTGAGTCTTTAAAATAGAATTGTGAAGAATAAATTACATCAGAACATTTTCTGTTCTTTTAGTGTAGTTGAGGTGGAATTACATAAATTTTATAACAATTTTTCAGTGTGTTTTTTAACATTCATAAAAAAATTCAAAGAAGAGATAAAGACATATGGATTGATAAAATTGAAAAAGACACAGATTTTAATATCAAAATTTCAATAATTTAATATTTCCAAAATAGGAATCAGTGAATCATTTCTGATAAAAGATTTTCCATGTTTGGGAGCAAAACATCAAATGTTGCACTCCTGACATAATTGGGTATGACCCATTCCTTGACTCTCATTAATGCTGCTTGTGATTTATATAGCATTTTTAAATCATGAATGGTATATCAGCTATTGTTTTATAATTTGAAAATTCTTTTTTGACTTAACTGTCATACAGATTTTTAAAATCAATGTTTTTGACAACACTTCATTTTTACTGTTGCACTCCTGACATGGTATAACATTTTTCAGCATCAGTCATGACCACAACTTGGCCAAATAAAAGATGCTTCAGTCTACATTTAAAGCTCAATACTTTGAATATTTTCAGGAACGTCTTTATTTCCAACATAAATCATTATTATTTATTTCACAGGTCTGCAAAAAATGTTGACGGCGAGTATAACCGGTCGACAGGGGATGCTTCCAGGGGCCCGTGTTATTACCCTGTGCACGATTCATTATATTTACTCGATATTGCATGGTTACTCTTTTTTTTTTATCTTCAACCTTTTAGTTTTGAATATGACATTGAAATTCTGTCAGTGGTGAGGTTCTCAAAGCAGGATTGGATTTAAGACCAAAAAATTTACAATTAAGATTAAGTCAAATGCTGACTGACGTTTTTCATACTAATTGTTAGGCCATTATTTACACTCTGAATTGTCCACGGATTTTTTTCCGTTTTTTTCCCGATCATGACAAGGAGCACACGGCAGGTGTGATCGGTCGACAGGGGGTGCTCACTCCTCCATGGCACCTGATCCCACCTGTGATGTCTTAGAGGTCCGTGTTTGCTATGCTCCTGATTTGCATTATTTGAATGGACTTTTGAGCTTGAATAATGTTTGTTATCTCCATATTTCATTCGAAGATTAATCTGTGAAACGGTAATCCTAAAGGGATGATTAAGAATAAATGTCAATGTTATTTCATAAATAAACATTTTTTTTTATATTTTCATTATTTTGAGTGCTGAATCAATATCTGGAAGGTAATAAAGAAACCTCGACTGTGGAATATTGCATGATCACAATGGGAGTGAGAAACTTAAATTCAAAATCATACAAGATATTTGGAAACCTCATTCCAAATTAAATTACACTCAATGGATCCACTCCATAAATGACATGATGCCTTTTTTTTAGCAAACGGCTCATCCCTTGACATTCCAGTTAACGTATCAAGGCCGCTAAATTTCGTATTTGTAAACACACATCCAAACCAACCTTACACATTCGTCAGATGGATTTTAAACGCACCACGCATTCGAGGACTGGACATTAGTTATATGTAAACGGTAAGACAAGTATTCCATATATTTTTAAAAACCCAGAACTCTAAAACTAGTAATACATTTTTTTTTCTACCTTTACATTGGCGTTATCTGAAGTGAAACATCTCGCTTTATCGTACGAAAATACGACAAGTTTTTAAAGAGAAATTATAAAGCCTTCAAAGAAATGAATACGTACAGTATTCTTTAACAGCGGTGGGTTATATGTACACGGCATTCCCAGACTGATGAGGCCTAGTTATTATTAATTTCGTGGAAACTAACTCTTTTTTTAAACACTGCGACGAATATTTTTAAATCAGTAAGAAATATCCTTTGACTGTAATACTCACCAAAAAATGCGCTGCTATATAACCATAGATAAAAATTCGGCTCCGTTTTATCCAAATCCCATTGAGCAAACATAAATCTTTGTCATCTAGAAGTCTTTTGCCTTTGTGTTTTTTGTACCACTTTCTGATATTTGTTGTTATCCGGGTCCGTCCGTCCGTCCGTCACAATTTCTTTTTCCTGTAATTCCCCATACAATTCAGTAAGCAGTAACCAATTCGCCTTTTGTAATATGATAAGGAGTGCCCTATAGATGTGTAATAAGGTTTCAAAGTTTTCATTTTCATCCTAGGGATCACATGGGAGCTGAAAAAACGTTTTTCTACAATAACCTAGTGCCCAAAACTCCTCTTAAATTTTACGCAGTAGCCATCCTATCTTTTGCAAGATGTGTGGGGGTGTCCTGCTGATGTACAATGAGGTCTCGGAATTTTCATTTTCATCCTGGGACTCAATGGTCGTTAACCACCTCTTTTAAAATCAGAATTTACCTCATCACAATCTGTAGTTTCAGACTGGTAATGAATTTATGCTCACTTTGATACATGTATATATATATTTTATGTATATTATAGAATAAATCTTTGGCTGCTCCTCTACCAAGGGAGCTAGAAAACATTTAGAGGCAAACACTTATGTGTGAGGGTAGAGGGTATTACTGTCTTATGACAGCATCTATTTTTTTTTAAATTTACAGTTCCTAGAGAGGGAGAGTTCTAATCATATCCTGTTTAAGCTAATAAAAATAAAAAAAAGGCAAAAACATGGGGTTATTTAAAAATCTTCTCAAGAACATCGGACCAAAAAATATGAAATTTTTGTAATAGCTTTCTAACATAGTATAGATTCAAGTTTATTCAAATTTTGCCCCCCTCCAACCCCCGGGTTAGGGTGTGGCCACAAGAGATCAACGTTTGAAACATAAATATATACATATTTAATTTATAAATATTTAAAATCTTATTTTCAAGAACATGATGAAAGACCCCATCTCTTTATCTCTTTATTTAAAATTTTCTTCAAGGTCCAGCATGACTGATAAAAAATCCACATTGTCTTTTGAGAGCTGGGTGGACAAGCTAAATGGAAAATGGACTCCTCTGATTTTCCTAACATTGGGCATATTGGCATTTATGTACCCAGTGTGTTTTAATCCAATTGAATGTGGGTTTCCAGCAGAATTCACACAATCCATGGTTGATTATGGAAAAGCTCGGTGTTATAAAGCTAGAACAGTAAGGAACGTACCTGATAAAACCAGCCATCAAAATACCTTTCTATGGGTATCTGTCGAAGATGTCGAAACTTCCGGTGAAACAACCCTATACCAATATGTATCTCTATTTCTGATAGTGCAGGCTATTTTTCTTCGAATTCCGTTAATGATATGGAATCTGGGAAAAACGAAGTTTGGCATTCATTTCATTGTTCATACAGGAGGCGGTGAAGAAGTCGGCAAATCTGAGGGCAAGAGGCTCGCGATCTACATCTACCAATGGATACAAAACCGGAAAATTAACATTTTATCTCTTGGGTCATTTACAATATTTCAATGCTTTATTAAATTAATGTATTTTGTGAGTGTTTCCATCCACTTGGGATTTTTGGATTATGTCCTGGGGCAGAACAATAAAATTAACTTTGGTTCATTTATCACAGGAAAGACGAAGGAAAACAACTTGACTGTGTGGAAACCCTCTCTATTTTTTCCCCAACACATCATGTGCAATTATACTTATTATATTTACCAGCGTACTCGAAAATATAGTGTTTCATGTACTTTGACACTGAATCCGTTTTTGGAACAGATGGTGGCGGTGGCATGGTGTTGGTTAATCTTCTGTATCTCTGCCACTATAGCTGATGGTATATTTCATGTATTTGGTGCCGTACTGCCATTTTTCAGAGTTTGGTAAGTTTGAGTTTCAAGCCATATATAAGTAAAATTAGCAAATCATCAATACCATATATACACCCATGAATACATTGTAAGGAACAATTTCCAGGAAATCCACTATTTTCGAAATTCTGCAGTTTAGATTTAGAAAAAAAAGAAAGAAAATAAACGACAAAATCACTGTGTGTTTATTTCTTTTCATGACCAGTAACATGTAAATTAGTCCGAAAATATTTAATATAGACACTTCTATTTTAGGAAAAACTTCAAATTAATGTTGAGTCTTCCTTAATGGAATAAATTGCAAAATTTTCAAATTGCAGATACAAATACCTTAATATTAAACAATGTATATTTACTACATGTACAAGTTTTCAAAAAAAAATATTTTTCTTTAAAGGTTTGTACAATCAAATCTGCTAAAATCGGAACTGGGAAATTCAAGAGAAGCCTTGTCAGACCGCAATATTCAACGGTTTTCAACCACCTTGGGAGAAGATGTAATTTCTTTTTTGAAGCACGTCCAAGATAGTGAAAGCGGAAGTGTTGTCATGGAAACAGTCACTGAATTATGGAGGATGTATCATGGCGACTTACAACACGCCTCTGCAATTTTATCACATCCTGTACATTCGACAGCCGTTATGTCGAACCCTCGAACACAGCAATCACATACCCAGCCAGAAAATTTTCAACAAGAGTCAGAGTCGAGCGCAGGTCAAGGTCATAAACCGACGGCACCTTTGTTATATCCGGTCTATCCAACCAGTACACTATAAGGTATATTATTTTTCACGGTAAAAAAATGGAAGGGCATAAAACATGTGCATATAACGTATCATTCGAATTTAAATTCTTAATAAATAAACTATAGTTTGTATTACACACATTAACGCTTTCGTTCTAGGAAAGGAATATAACTACATGTAGAAAATGTTATGACGAGAGAATGAGAGTTTGGAAGTAATTTTCGTAATTTAATCCAGTAATAATTTTATATAGTTCATAAGGTTATAAGCCTCTGGACCACAAATTGGCACTAGTGGTTCATTGTAAATGCGTGAATATTCTTTATTACTCGAGACTGCCATGTTTTCAGTTTACAGTTTGTTGTTATTCTTTCGTTTGACAAATGTTCACTTGCTTTCAAATTGTCATTATCGCAGACATGGCACGATAACCGAACGTTTATGTACTTGAAATTGAAACTACATGTATAATAAAAAAGTACAAAACAATAGGTACATTTTGAATTTTTTTCCTCCCATATCAGCAAGCAGAGGCTGCAAACGTTTTATGATATACTTATTTACAATTTAATGAAGGATGGAAAAGAATTGTTTTCAGAATATAATTTTTCGTAAATCTCCAACTTATCAACGACTCTTTTGGCCACTTGCACATGTTTGGCTTAAACTTGGATCAAGGTAATCTAGGCTTAAGTCAGGTTCAAAATTATCAAATCACTTGCAGACCTCTCTGATTTATCTGAGTAGAGCTCAGAATTGGGGTTTACTGTAAACCAGGTAATGGGCAGGTTTAAAGGAAGGTTTATATAAGTGATGGAGTATTATTTTGATGAGATAGACCAAATTTATTTAGTGTAAAGACTTATCAGGCAAGAAAGAATGGTAAGAGACAGGACAAACCCTTTTTTTAATTATTCCGAAGAGGAATTTATTGACAGATTTCGTTTAAGAAAGGAATGTGTAATTGAATTATTAAATGAAATTGGGGAACACCTGGGGCCAAAACAAAAGAAGGTTTCATTAATATCACCTCTTGATCCACTACTAATAGCTTTACGGTTTTACGGAACTGGGTGTTTCCTCAGAGTTTCTGGAGATCTCTTTGGAGTTCAGAAAGTTCAGCTTCTCGCATTGTGAAGAGAGTATCATCGGCATTGGCATCGCTTTACAAGAATTATGTAGTATTTCCATCAGTAAATAAACTAACTGAAATCCAAAGAGGTTTTCTGAACCATAGTGGTATTCCAGGAATAGTGGGTGCAATTAATAGACTGTACCCATATCCCAATACAATCACCTGGAGGTGACACGGCAGAAATTTTTCGTAACAGGAAAGGGTTTTTCTCCATCAATGTGCAAGCAATTTGTGACAATGATCTAACGCTTACAAACGTGGTTGCATGATGGCCGGGAAGTACCCATGACAGTTGGATTTTTGAGAACAGTAGTGTCTGTGCGAGTTTTAAAAGAAGAAATATTCCTGGGATTTTGATTGCAGATAATGGATACCCTCTCAAACCTTATTTAATAACACCCCTTCTTACTTGCCGGACACCACAGGAGAGACGCTTTAATATTGCTTTGAGTAACAGTCGAGTTAGAATTGAGAATGTATTTGGCATTTGGAAAAGACGCTTTCCTTGCCTTCGAAACCAGTTGAGATTTAAGATTTCTACAACCTTGCACATTATTGTTGCTTGCGCAGTATTGTACAATATTGCAAGGAAAGCTGCCATCCCGGTACCAGATGATGACGATGAAGGAGATACAGCTGTTCCAGTTCCGGTGCCACCAAATGCAAACCAAGGGGGGACAGGCTTTAAGAGCAGTTTTGATACGACATTTTCAGTAAAAACCCGAACAAGTGAGTTTAATTGATTATAAATTTAATTTTTCAATTCTCAAATGTTTAATGTAAGCTTTATATTTGTTACTATGCAAAATACTACTCATTGTGCATATGGCTGCCAGAAATAGCCACTGTTGTTGTTAGAATCTGTACCCCCACATGTAGCGGTTGGAGGTACTGGCAAATTAGGTTCACTTAATTTTATTTCGTTCTCTAGTTTCTGTTTCTTTAACTTTAGTATGTCCTCTTTCAACTGGAGGATTGTGATCTTTTTACTATATTCTATTTCTGCCATTTCCAGGAGCCTATTCTTGACTTGGTCTTGACGTCCTGGAACAGCAGCTTTTAGTTTAATACCAGGAACTCTGGACGCTGGTTGTAGCGGTTTAGCGGATTCTTCCGACATTATCGGCGCATCCTCCTGAATTCTGTTTCTGCATACATGTATGCAAAGAAATTTTAATTAAAATTGTTTTAATGCAATAATGTTGACAAAATATACCGCATCATTGTCATCTGAATCTTCATTGTCTTCTTCTGGTTCATCCCCATGGAGACTTGCATCATCGTCATATGGATTTTGCAAACTAAAAATTTATTGTGAAAGCATTTCGGATATGGTGCTGGAAATTTTATCCAAGCTTTTCCCAGATAGTCCTCCACCTTTTTCTTGTCTCTCCTCTCCTCAGCAACAGCAGACTTCGTTCTGGCTTTTAGATTTTTCCATAATGATTTCAACTGTGTTATGGTTCTCTTGTTTACACCGTGTCTAGAATTAAATTCTTTCTCAATATTTATCCATTCTGTGTTCTTTTTACTAACCATTCTGACATCATTCTGCTTATTTTCTATGATGTCCTTCCTAGCATGGATAAGCGCTAACAAAATTTCTTTTTCTAATTCAGAAAATTTTGCTGACTTCTGTCTTGTTGCCATAATTTTCAAGGAATGAGATAATCTTAAGCCGTATTCATGTAAGAAAGAGTTAAGTCACAGGTTTCAACCCAGCTACTTCTCACCCGAGTACAGCTTAAGCCAGGTTTAAGACAGGGTTATCTGATCCCCAGATCACCTATTAAATCAAGATTACCTGAGCTACAGGTATGCAAGTGGCCATTTCTCTCTCTCTCTCTCGAACGTTAACGGTAGTGAACGCTGTCTGAATCCCTGCTTGTTGTGCTCTACATTCAATGTCGAGCTCTAATTTACAGAAAATCTTTATTAATTTTCTAGTCATCATCCTTTAATTCACCGACAATTTTTAAAATCATTTCATCTCATTATTTCACAGTGAACAAACAAATCCATGATTACTGTATATAATTTACTGGAAATGATTAGTGTTTATAACCTAGCTCCAACTAATATTTCAAACATATCCCCAAAATAATATTTTGCATTTACATGTATATGTCATTTAGAAAGTTATATTGGAATCAGTGATGAATACCCCCCCCCCCCCCTACGGAAAACTAACATTCTTATACCAGTATATTAGATATAGAAAATTATTTTTCAATGTATAATATAAATAAAGGAATGATTTAACATAGAAAGTCAATCTTAAATAGTTCTAAATATATGTTTAAGAAAGTTAAGACATACTTAAGTCACCTCTACCGGCAGCCTAAGTTTTGCTAAGATTGTCAAATCTTAGCACGTTTCTAGTTACGGTCTTTAGTTTAAGACTGTACTTAAGTCCTACTTAAGCATGGTCTTAGACTTAAGTACCCTTTATGTTACGACCCCCTGATCAATACAGAGGACTCACGGCGGATATGACTGATCGACCTGGAAAGCTCACTCCTCCTAGACTCCTGATTCCAGCTCTGGTGTTTTGAGCGATCAATGTTTCTGTTCTGTTCACAATTCGTATTGATGACAGGATTTATGAGATTGATCACTGTTCATTGTCTTCATATTATTCGTTATGATGGAAAGAAAACCAATTGTAGGAAGACAACTTCCCATTCTGTTGATAAAACACACCCTTGATGTTCATGAGGCAGAAAATAAAGCAAAAGTGTCCACAAAATTCCTGATTCAAGTTTATCTTCTCCATTAGCTAATCCCTAGAATTAAGGATTAAGAATGGTTCTTTCTAGAAGCATTTAATATGGAATCAAAAGAAAACTTCTTGTTAATATTTGTAGACAAATTTGAAAATTACTGTTTCATAGATTGCATGATTCTTTGTGCAAAATTTAGTAAAAAAAGTTTGATGAATAAGAAGCAGATATCCATGGACTTACAGACGACCCAGAGCAGACCGATCAGAAACGTTTACATGAATGTTGGCTGGGGTAAGTACCTTTTAAGGATAAACGTAAAAAAACAAATAATTTTTTATGTTGAATAACGTTCATTCTTAGAACGTACTACTAAATGGGTCTTACCATTCACACTAGTTATACTCCTAAGCATTTCATGGATATCGTTAGCTTTATAGGTTTTACTTTACAGTAGAAAAGTAGCTACGATCAAAAGGTTTTCGAATATTTTGCATCATAGGAAATACTGGAATTCAATATTCTCTTCGTGTTTCCCTTGATTTGAGGTACATAGTTTCATTCAGATTTTGTGTTCTCCTAAATATCCGGTTGAGAATTCATAGTTCTGATTAAATAAACAAGGTTGGACTCAAAATACAAGAGACGATAAATAAATGTCTAACTGATGCCAAAGCTAAACTTGATTGGTGATACGAAACGTGGATTTTAAAGGACTAAACTTGATTGGTGATACGAAACGTGGATTTTAAAGGACTGATGCCTTTCACATACCTGATGATCTACACAAAACATGAATTACCGATGAATATATTCCAGTTTTATTGAGTGAATAACATATGGAGATGGGTATTTGACAACAATAACCAAAAAAAAAAAAAAAAACATTTTGGGTGGAATACGTATAATATTCATAAATTCAAACTCAAAAAAAACAAAACAAAAAACAAAAAAACAAAAAAAAAAAACAAAAAAAAAACCAACCAATGGTTATAATATGTTATTATCTTTCGACGACTGCCAACCATCCTTGGTGGTTGATTACAAATTGATCCCTAGTAATGACGTCATTGTGTGATGGTCCTTTGATGACTGCCTACCATTCGTGCTGGTTGATAAGGTAATGAGCCTTAGCAATGACGTCATTGTGTTATGATCCTTTGATGACTGCCTACCATTCGTGCTGGTTGATAAGGTACTGAGCCTTAGCGATGACGTCATTGTGTTATGATCCTTTGATGACTGCCTACCATCCGTGCTGGTTGATGAGGTACTGAGCCTTAGCAATGACGTCATTGTGTTATGATCCTTTGATGACTGCCTACCATCCGTGCTGGTTGATAAGGTAATGAGCCCTAGCAATGACATCATTGCTGTAGTCGTTATTAGTGGAACCAATATCTAAATTTCCCCACGACTGAACATTTCCAACTCCAAAGTTGTAAGCAGCTACACCACCTAATGAAACAATATCAATATTTATTACATTTTCAACATTGAAATACTGTGATTTATTTCTTGAATAAAATTGTATGTAGTTTTTTATACCTTGTAGCTGCTGCTCTAGGGCCCAGTTGGGATGTTTCTTCTGAACTTCTTTTATGAACTTCACCAAGGTGAACTTCGTCATCATATTGATGTGTTCACAACTATCCCAGTTATATGTTGTACAATTCTGGCCAGTTGTTTTATCGCAAACAGGACAATGCCTCACGTCACACTTTCAGAAAAGAATTCTCATGAAATTTGAAATTTTTAATGTTTTATGTAAAAGTTTTACAAATCACTAATCTACTAGAATCTACTTATATTATCAGACAGAAATTATAAATATTGTCATTTTAGTACGTCTTTGGTTATCTAGCATAGGATGTTTTGTATGTAAAATCATTAGATAAGCCAGTTACAAATTCTTAAAATATTTTCAATTGTAATTTCTCATCGTGAAAAATCCTTGTTTATTATTGATTTATCAAAAATAATCAAGTGTTTCAGTGAACATTGTCATGTGTATATTACATGTACCTGCATAGTTCCGTAAGCATTGTCGTTATCTCCCCAGCCATTGGTGTTTATTAATAGTCTACCAGCATGTGACTCTCTGCTGGCAATGGCTGCTATTACTGCTGGGTGAACACCTTAAAGAAAAATGGAATTCAAAATAAATCACCCCTCAATATATTTAAGTTTAAAAGATAAGTCAACATGCTAATAATTATGGAAAAGCACTCTATATTTAGATGAAACAATTTTCTGTGTAGAGAATTCATTATCAATGAAAATACGGATTCAATTTTTTTCGCAGGAAAGTACGTACATGTATATAGAAAGCGCCAAAATCCTCTTCCAATAAAGAATAGTGATTAAAATAATTGGAATCAATTTGGAATCCGCTATGAAAGCGGATCAAAGGATACAATTTAATCAGAATGAAGTGTGCTGCTCTTCGGGCTATATTCTGAGGTCATACGAAGCAAGGCTACAAAGTCGATACTCATTTAATGTCGACTTAATGTTTGTTCAAAGTTTGATACCGAGGCTATACGTACAGTTATTTTCTCCAGCCGACACATAGCAGCTTTTCTTCTCTGTTAGTTTCTTTAGGTCTGGTGTTATTTCGTTTATTGAAGCAGGTATACCTGTTCAATACACAATTGCAAGTAATACAGAAATGAAAAAGTTATCATTTACATTAGATATGTTTGCCGAAACAGTTTGGTTCTTGTTCCGATAAAACGCATTTTGTCTGGAGAACACAGTCAATAAATGTTTGGTAAATACTTTTTACTTTTTTGAAATATCTTGCTCTAGCGTCTTCATAGTGTAAATTTCGTTTAGCCGCACCGCGGCTGCGTTTAAAACTCGGTCAATTCCGTGTTTGTCGAACACCAATGAATGCAATTAAGATAACGCTGATCCCGCCCACGGTGTGACCTAAGGGTCCAACATCTCATCCATAGATCCAATATCTCGCTCTGCGGTCTAATATCATTTTTTTTTACCGCTCATTAAAACGTTAGACTTTTTGAGATAGATTTATATAGGAAACAATTCTTAAAGGTATTACAACTCATTTTTCTTCTCAATAAATGATCCAAGTATAATACATGAATATTGTAAAAAAAAAATTAATGGAAATAGTAATTCCAAAGATTCTCATTTTCTAAAATTGCTCGAGATATCGTAGAAGGTAAAGAATTTGTGAAGAAACATCGACCATTTTGAGTTCTATAAATTGTAGATTAAAACTATAAACAAAGAAGATATTTTGCCGAACATACATGAACAATATAAATCATTTTTTTTTAAAATTTTAAATGTTTAAAGAGCTATAAAAACATACCATTTGGGAAAGCTAGCTCGCTAGCTTATTGCGGAACCATTTTAATTCATGGCGCCTATCTTCGTAGATTGCTCAAAACTTTTTAATTAAATTCTTAATTAAAATTTTGCTGGGACATAATTTGAAAAGTTTCTAAGTGAATAATAATATTGCTCACCCTACAATTCTTGTGAACTAATTGTACATCAACATTTCAGTTTTATTTTTATAAGACCTTCTGTAACACTGTTTTATTTGTCCTTTGAATTTTGTTGCAATGCTGTCGGTGAAACAGACGCCTGCTGGGGAACCTTTAAGTTCAATGTCTGATTCCATCTCATACTTACCTCCATTTTTTCTTCCACTTGGTGTCAATTTTGTTACATCACCAAAGCAGTCATAATTTCCTATATTTAAAAATATTTCGTGTAAAAACAGTTAGTCGTGTAAAACTTAAATTAAACAAACACAGCCTTCGATAATAAAAAGTGTTCTGTGCGACAAGTGCTTAAAAAAAGTACCCCAAAATGGTACTAAACGAATTCATGAATTTTTTTCTGGAGCGAAAGCCTTTCCTTTACTGCCACCATAAAAGACATGCTTATATACCCCCTCCCCTGCCTATTTAATACATGTAAAGCTGGTCTGTTATGACATTGATTGAAAGCCAGCATTTTCAAGGTTATCTTACTGTAGCAAGTTAGAAATTATCTGAGACCACAAAATATTAGTTTTCTCTTATTGCTGCGCTTGCTTGGGTATATAAAATTGATATATCTCTTACCGGAATTAGGAATACAGCATTGGCGAGATGATCTTCCAGAACACAGCATTGTCTCAAATCGTCCATTATTACAACTGACGGAAGTTTCCTTGCATTCCCCTCCTAGGTTTGTACATTCTGAATCACCTTTCACTGTCTTCGTGCTTTGCTGCTTTAAATTTACTGAAAAAATATAATAAATATCTTGTCTTGATTTATTACCTTTATATATCAGTTTAACTGAAGTATTTCACACAAATTTTGTAAAAATTACTAAGACAAGCTGACTGGAAATATTAGATGAATGTCCTCTCCAACAAACTCAGGTAATGTCTTTCCCAACAGAGAGAGAGAGAGAGAGAGAGAGAGAGAGAGAGAGAGAGAGAGAGAGAGCATTGCCTTATTAAATACAGAAGAATGAAAGAAAATTGAAGAAAGAGTCAGTCATTTTGTTTAGTAGAAAGCTCAGATGATTAAATGTATTCCTATATTCTACTTCTTTTTCATACAGAGCTAACACTCCATTCTGGTCAATATCAAAAGAGATTTTCATCATTTTGTCTTTAAATTTAAATCTGCTTTCTGTCTTTTGTTTCAAACTTCCTTTGAATTAAACGTTTTCTGACCTCATTTAGAGTGAGGATTTAACAAAATAAAGAGGTGAATTTAATTGTTTGTCATTATCTAATTTTGATCTTTACAACAACACTGACTTATCTGGCAATGTACGTGAGTCCCTCCGTGACTCCACCCTCCAGCTTTAGAGCAGGCCTGTTTGTAAGCTTCCTCTTGGTCTGGATCTCTTAAGTTTGTTCCTGTTAGTTTGTTCAGTTGTAAATCAACCGCCATTCCACTATAGTGAAGTGAAGTAGTAGTGTGGCACGAACCCGCGAGAGAGTTTATCTGTGTCCATTTGCAGATAAAAATTTTAACAAACAAACAAACAAAATAAAAAAGAAAAGAATTAAAATAGAAATATTAATTAACTTCTACTGATATACATATATGTTAATCCTTCAGATATGAAATCATTTCGTACCTGTGGTTTGTAAGCAGTCTTTTGGAGGTCAATGACATACTGAAGAATCAATTCGTCCAAACAAACGGTTCCGCCAGGAGAGGTGTGAGTCTCACCATTGATTTCACAGGAATAACTAAAATATAAATAAAAGAAATAAAAAAAACAAAAAAGTTTAACTAACTGATTTAAACAAAAAAAGGTTTTAATACTACATTATAAATAAGAATCTTTACGATGATCTTCTTGCCGTTTTCCCTTCACAAGCGTCCTGTATATTCCTCAGAGCGTCAGCGCCATCATCCGGCGGGTCTTGTCTTACATGTGTGCCGAGGAGTGTCAGTTTGTCCGATTTATGAGCTTCAAGGATTTCACAGGACAAAGTCTTGGCAATTCCACTGCATTCTGGATCAAAGATACCAAAAATAAATAAATTAAAGCATAAATTGTAAGGTTTATATATAAGTATCTCTTTGTACTTCACAATATATAGCTTCTCTTGTTCTACGCTGTTTAAAGGTCTCTATTTTAGTGAAATAGTCACATTTAGAGGAAAGAGCGCAAATTTTTACCTTCAAACTATTTTTGTAAAGTACTAATTAGGCAAGAGAAAAGGGATTTTTTTCTTTCTTTGATTCTTAAATAAAGAGACTGTATAACATGACTATACCTGTTTGCATAGAAAAAGAGTTTGAGAGACACTGGGGATCATTGCAGCCAATTACATGTGTCACTTTTACGATCTCTCCCTTCTTGAATTTCAGCGTGGCTATATCTCCTTCAGCAATTCTCTCCTTTAGATCATCTATCGTTTTTAAAACCAGTTTTTCATTTTTTGATTCAGAGTAGAGATAGATTCGTATTGGTACCGAGTCCACATTTGTTGGAAGTATTGTTGGACCTATTGTTTTATACTTTACACCGGATTCCGACCACTGAAATGACTGGGAAAGGGTCTCCGCAATCTCCTCAGCCAGCTTATCTAATTCATTTGTATTATAGTTTTCCACATAAAACAAGAGCTGCTTTGCCCAAATAGGAACATATGTTGTCATTAAGCATCTCTTAAATTTGGAGAAGACGCCGCCAACGAAACCGTCAATTTGGAAGATATCATCCCAGGATAACTCGCAAAAGTGATTATCAACCAGAGGCTCTGTGTAGCAGTATTTAGTGGAGGACTCTAGAATGGATTTCACTTTTTCACAATCGGCTCTAATCTGTGGATAAAGTAAATGAACTAAATTATTTTGCATGCATTTTATCACACCTATAACCCACGCCTTGCCGTTTTTCGAAATTTCTTTGGCACTTTTCTCTAGTTTTTGACATGTTCTACTGGCCTCTGTTACTGCTGGGCAAGGTTTCCTCTTTGTCAAACATTCAGAAAACCACGAGCAGTCTCCAGATGGAAAATAACAGTTAATATTAGGTGTATCCGAGTTCCCCACACTTGGGGAATTTGGATCACATTGACAAGCCGATAGTCCTCCGTGACTAGCTGTTGCTGTACATTGATACCAGCAATATTTCGTACTAGATCCCCTACATGTCAAATGTTTACCCGTGGAGTACACGATCTTTTCTTTAGGCAAACAAACAGCTGCCTGGAATTTTGAGTATGATGGGGAATAAACACATCCTGTATTCCCTGACGGCCCATTGGTTATATCACAAACCGAGAATACTTGATTGAAAACTAGTATTAGACATAAAATCGAAAGAAGGAAATCTACACACATATTGCTGGCTTCTATTGACTTTGAACTAAATTGTATAGAATTTAACTTCCTTGTAACAGTTCTCTCTGTAATCCCTTGTATATACTATTTTCTACCTGTCAATCATAATGGTCTTTTTAAATGTCGATTTTGTTGAGCTGATTAACAAACATATTGATTTTAAATTTTCATTCCGGTTTAAAGAACGGATTTAGTTTCGATGCATTACAATTGAATGTAAAATCTTATATCTGGTCATAGCAGTTTAACAATTTTCGCTACAGACTTTTATGTTATTTCGAGAAGTTTTTTGAACAAAATACATGTAATTTAATAGGTCTTTTTGGGGTGCCAGCTTTATCCATTAACACAATATTTAGATCTTATGTCCACATACGATTGTAGTAGTAATTCAAAGACAAGGAAAACTGAAGAAATAAAACATCCAAATATGAAACTTGGGTGACAGACTTTTGGTGTCTTTCAAGTTCACAGGGATATATCGAATCGACATATGAATGAAAGTAACTATTGTTAATTGATAATATATCGTCGGTATTTATCTAAATGTCGAGTTGAAGGCCACAGCAAGTGTTTTCTTCTTCTCATATGATTTAAATTTACCGTATGCACTCAGAGATATAATCTATATACAATCATTCTGACTGTGCGTACTACATGTACAAACTCGAATCTAGCCCGGGGACACATACAACCTTCTGTTCCAATTGTATTTTATCAGTGTAAATTAAATTTCAAAATCAAATATGTTGTATATTTAACATCCTCTGAGCTATTAATAACGTTTTTGCCTGTAATTGAAGGTAAATAAATAAAAAAAATTCAGGGAGGGGTATCACATGCATGAAGATAATGTGTGATGCCCAGAGCATGGGAAGTCAGTCACTAGGGTAACCGTCACTAGAAAACAATGAATGAAAACTTAAACTAGCTTTGAATCAGTTTTAAATTTTTGAATAATCAGTCGATTATGGACCGAAAATTAATTAAATTTTTAAATCAAAAAAGCTTGCAAATAAACATGTATAAGTTTGAATGATAATATTTATAGACAGGATATATTTTCTAAATAATATTTTACACCCGAATCACAGTTTGTTTGTAATACCTGGATAAATACCGTAAAAGTGCACTAGATTAGAAGTCATGAAAAAGAGTCTGGTACCCATGTTGTACGTTCATATGTACTTTCGAGTAAACTTGAATTACTAATAAGGAATACAGAAAAATATCTATTCCTTTGAAAATTTTATGCTGAGCCTCTTTTTTTAATATTGCGACTATTTTACTTATTTAAAATGGTTAAATGAAGGAAAAGTTGTTTTCAATTGACAATTAAATCATTGAGTTATCGGATGATCAATAATTGTGATCTACAAAATAAATGCATATGTATAATTACGGATAATTTAAGAACAATTAATAAATGAACATACAATATATATATATATCTATACTTATAAATTAATAAATTTTGCAAATAAACTCCGAAACGGATGCACCAGAGTTTTTACTTACTCCTCTAAGAATACACTAGATACAATATGATGTCCGTAAACTATATTTAGATTTCACTCGCATTGTAAGTATCGTACATTAAATGAAAAGTCTACTTTTATTTTCTATAAACAGTCATGAAATAGCAAAAACGTGAGTACGGTGGCGTTTCCGGTTGGCGGATCTAAGTTTCTGGCAATTTTCAATGAAACTGACAACAATCAGTCGTTTATTTATTTCATTAAACGTCATCACTGAATTATTCAATCAAAACTTGATTTAAATGACATAAACGAAATAAGTTGTGATAACCGATTAAAAAGGGAAATGTGCAAATTATTTTCGTCATTCACCGATCTTAATATTGACGGAAGCTTCTAGAACATCATATAGCATCGAGCCCGATGTTAAAAAGAAAAACGAGACAATTATAGCAGTAGGAACATAAGAAAAGCTTATGTGTGAATGGTCATTGAGATAATGGTAAATCATTGATAACACTAAAAGTTGGGAATATACTTAGATATCGAAAGACTATTACATATATGTAGTAGGTTTTTCTAATAAATTTATTGGTAAAAAGTGTATATATTCCTCACTACTTACATGAAAAGAGAAAATTAATGAATAAGATATTGTTCAAATACAATTAAAGCTGTAAAATTGTGTGCTTTAATCAATGCGTTTCAGTTTTTTTTAAAAAGGTAAAGTACATTTTTTACATATCAATAAGATACATACATATTTATAAACCAAGACACAAGTACCTGTGAATTTTAACCCCCCCCCCCCCAATCAATTTATCAGTAAAATGAGCATATTCACTGCTTTTAATTTATCCTTGACGGAAATGAAATAAGAGCATACAATATATTCATAACATAGTATAACAGGTTTCACAATAAAGATCAATTAATGAAATTGTTATTTTTTTCAAAGTTTTTACAAAAGGGGTTGGGGTGGGGGTGGAGACGCACATGCGGGATTTTGAACAAAGTATTTCTTCCTGCTATAACCCTGTATGCTGTCAGTAGAAACTACAATACAATTTTTGTCGTATAAATTCAATTCCCCGCGCTTGCGCGGGATTTCATCTAGTATATATATATATATATATATATATATATATATATATATATATATATATATATATATATATATATATATATATATATATATATATATATATATATATATAGTTGTCTCCATATCATGTATTCTTTCTTTCCTTTCCTTTTCTTTCTTTTTTTTTATTTTTGAAAGAGGCGTGAAATAAAAGATAAATTAATCAAATATAAAAAGGAGACCTAAATAACTGCTAAGACTGGTTTTATCCTTTTAAAATTTTTTTTTTTTACTTCTATTCATTCTTGTTCTGTTGTGTTTTTTTTCCCCGTCGGGGGAGGTAACTCGCGTTTATGAAGAGAATAATTTTTTACGCAAACCGCGATGGTGTGGATTAGTTGAGGACCCGTACCGCGAGAACACGCGGTTTTACCTGAGTTACCTGTGTTAAACCGCGATCAATTTCACACTGCGAGGACTCGCGGTAAATACGAAAACCGCGTTGACTGTAAAGTCTATGCTATTTAGTATGTGCACTGTTTGTCGTAAGGCAATATGAAAAATACCAGCATTATAATCCACTTGACCTTAACCTTTGACCTACTTTGCAAAAAATATCTCGGGCACTTTAATTAAACTTATGAATTTTGAATTTTGAGATGGAGGGTTTAGATAATTAGCATTTATACATGTTTATGAGCTCCTGTTAGTGTCCTTTGAAACCGTATGATATTCAGTTACCACACATACTAAATACTATGAAAATACATCGGGATCGGTATTCCACAATGGATCGTGTAGACTGAGAATTGCAGTAAAGACAGACTGAAATCTCTTTTGAATGGTTATTGGAAACACGTTTAGCTCATAAAAAGTACTTTGAAACTCTATGATATTCAGTTACCACACAAACTTAATATATTTAAATACCATGAAAATACGTCGGGGTCGGTATTCGACAATGGATCGTGTAGACTGACAATTGCAATAAAGACGGACTGAAATCTACTTTGGAGGATTCTTAGAAACACGTATTAATAAAATGACAAATAGTTATTTCTAATAATTTCAATTTAATTATTCATTTGAGGGTTATGGAACCATATTTTCTTTGATTGTCAGATCCTATCGCAGTCTTATTTTATCCATGGATGCCATTTTTTTCTTTGCAGGCAAATACATGAACTATCAGTCTATCATGCTTATAGTTAATAAAAAGGCTAAACTGACCACTCTTAGATTTATTGATACCTTTAATGAATCTACAAAGCATGCGACACATGCGTTCCTTGGAACATTCTAGTTTTTTCTAAATATCTTTCAATAAATTAACTGGGAAATTAACTGAGTAGAAACTGGGATTTGTCGATTTTTTTTTTTTTTTTTTTTTTTTTTTTTTTTTACAATTCTTGCTGATGATAGACTGATAGTCATGCATTTGCCTGCAAAGATCAATGGCATCCATGGATAAAATAAGACTACGTCTGGTGGTGACAAATCTTCTTTGAAGCAGAGCTGTAGCTCTCTGGTTAAGAAAATTTGGACAGACAAACCAGAAAGCTACAGATCCAAGTATTGTAAAAAAACCTTTATTATATGATTGAGTAATCCCATCTCTCTGATTAACTGAGACCAAACAATGATAAGAAAAATATTAAATTATATTCACCTGCACGTGACCTTCCGGCTGAATATAAGGATTTATTTTTCTCTACATTAGACTAAAAATATATAGTGAAATTCCAAATTGATACAAATAGTTTTGGAAAATTATTTCACTTTCACCTGACTTTCACTGATATGAACATAACATAAAGGCACATAGAATCTTTGGTGAGGAGTTGAGGTGGGGGTTGTGGTGCTGCAGGGGGCCTGCCCCTCCCCACCAGTTTTAGGTATGTTGATTTTTAATTAATTAAATTTTAAGGATAAAAATGTTCAAAGACCCCTCCCCCGTTTATTGACTTTAACATCCTACCAAATAAAATTTTGAATTGGAGAATTCTCGTTTTTTTCGCGGGTGGGGGTGGGGGAGGGGAAGCCAGTCAAAGAATTTTTTCCGGTAAGATGTCAATTTCTTTTCCTTATACCCCCCTTTTTCAAAATCGATCCTATATACCGAGTATGCGACTGACATTTATTTTTTTCAAAATTGCACAAAATAGGATTTAAAATTCCAAATTAACACAACAACTGTTTATGTTTATTTTAATCCCGTTTCTCTCATTATGTTTAGCTAGTACTTCAGCAAATGCAAACATGATGGAATGGATTGCCTAATGAGTTTGTGTCATTGAATCATATAATAAAACAATTATTGCTGTTTTTTCGGTCAATACGATGATTTAGCCACCTTCTAGCCACCCTTCGGGCTTGGTGAATATTGTACTCCTCAGGTGTCTTAATCATCGTATTGACCTCAAAACCAGCAATAATTG